GAAAATTATAGATAAAAGAAGGCTTTAGGGCAAATATAATTGTAATTAAGTGGCCAAATTCTGATTGAGAAAAGTTTATTAAGCTTGCCATTTTTTAATTGCCCATAGGCTATAATTTTTATTTTAAAACAAGTTTTACCAGATTCCTATTTTTTAGATGATAATTTATAATATATATTTATTTAAAAATAAGTATTTTTGAAAAAAAAAATTTATTCTAATTTTGTAAGAATATCTAAAAACTGCATTAACTTACAGTTTAAATCCAAGTTTGTAAATAAATACTTCATTGTAAAAAAGTATGGTGAGCACTTTGATCACCACACGACACGCTGATCCTGCAAAGATTAGTTCTTAAAATGTGAGTAAAATGCACAATTGAATAGAAAATGAGGCAAATAGCTGCAAAAAAGGTCCACTTTTTCAGAAAAAAAAGAAGTACCCCTTTCAATAGGCTGGCTACGGGCCTGTATACAGAGTTCATTTTCATAAATGTATTTCATTCTTGGTGTTATCTGTAACCTTTGGAAGTCATAATTTAAGTCATAATTAAACATAGTTTTAGCATTAATAAAACGGGGATCTTATTTAATAACAAATCTGACTGTAGACATGTTACTCACTATTTTGATTATCGTCACTCGTATAAGACATAAATACAATCTTTAAAATACATAATAATAATAAAAGGTTATAGTCAGATTCCAAAACTGTATTACTCACTGTATTAAACCATCTGTGAATCTGTAAAGAAGAATGTACTTAGTATATACTCACCGGCCACTTTATTAGGTACACCATAGTACCAGGTTGGACTCCCTTTTACCTTCAGAACTGCCTTAATCCTTCATGGCATAGATTTAACAAGGTACTGGAAATATTCCTCAGATATTTTGGTCCATATTGACATGATATTGACATTTGTCGGCTGCTCATCCAGGATGCTAATCTCCTGTTTCACCACATCCCAAAGGTGCTCTATTGGATTGAGTTCTGTTGACTGTGGAGGCCAGTCAAGAAACCAGTCTGAGATGATTCACGCTTTATAACATGCTCAATTGGTACTAATGGGCCCAAAGTGTGCCAAGAAAATATCCCCCACACCATTACACCACCACCACCAGGCTGAGCCATTGATACAAGATGGATCCATGCTTTTATGTTGTTGATGCAAAATTCTGACCCAACTATCTGAATGTCGTAGCAGAAATCAAGACTTACCAAACCATGCAACGTTTCTCAAATCTTCTATTGTCCAATTTTGGTGAGCCTGTGCCAATTATAGCCTCAGTTTCCTGTTCTTAGCTGACAAGGGAGGCGCCCGGTGTGGTCTTCTGCTGCTGTAGCCCGTTTGCCTCAAGGGTGGACATGTTGTGCATTAAGAGATGCTCTTTTGTGTACCTCAGTTGTAACTAGTGGTTATTTGAGTTACTGTTGCCATTCTCCTCTGACCTACACTGAGTGCCCGCCATGTGATTGGCTGATTAGAAATTTGTGTTACAAGCAGTTGGAAAGGTGTACCTAATAAAGGGGCCAGTGAGTGTGCATGTACATGCGCTCTTCAATCTGAAAAAGGTATATTTTTTGTGAAAAGGTTAATGGTGGAAATAAATGGTTTGATTAAAAAATGCTCTTGTGTGTGTCTCATCAGCTAAAATTATCTTGGGTGTGTCCCAAACACATCTACACACAAACAGACAGAGACGTGCACACGCTCACCCGCATGCACACACTCACACACACAGACTCAAAACAAGAGAATGATTTGTTTAATTTAATTTAGACATATACATTTACACATGAAGACAGCAAAAGCATTTCCTAAACATTCTCAATTCATACATATGTGTAAAAAAATGAGATAAATCCAAATGCATACTGTCTGTAATACTGTAGACACAAGGGTTCAAAAGTTAGCTCAGAAAAGAGGAAAAAATAAGGATAAAAGAATACAAAAAATATGTATATCTGTATAAATATGTTCAATAGTAACAGTATTGTATAATACAGTTAAAGGTTACGTCAAAAAGTCCCAACCCATTCATTCCTTAAAATACAAAAACATACATTAGAGGAAAAAAGTTCCATCATCACACAGCTCCAAACACAGTCAAAGATTGTCAGTCAACATTTTCAAAAGTAAAACAAAGAATCCATCCTCAGCACAACACACGCATTACATTCAAACCCTAAACCTGACTCTGTGAGAGATTCGTAGAAAGCTCATGCCTTTTCACTGAGTGGTCCAATCTGACAAATACAGGGAAGCAAAGCATCTGCAACACTTGCTGTCACACTCCATTCTACTCTGATTGAACCAAAAACATGATGACAATTTAGGTACAAGTCTGAATTAAATATTTTTAGGAATTTATGTGACTTTTAGGAGTGAACAATATATAAAAGCGGATCATCACTGGCTGTTACTTTAAAACTCATCCAGTCAGACCTCATACAGGGTAGTTTGACTGACTTCAATCAAGCTTCACTACAAATGATTAAACATTATTATATGGACTTATTAGGGATCCTTATCACTGACCAATCACATACAATGTGTTTCCATATCCACCATGCTACGACATCCAAATACATCTCCTTCAGAGTCTCAATGACAATCATTCACTCTTTTTTTCGTCTTTCTCCAGCTATCATCCAAATGCCACCTCTTACGATCAGGACCGGCCTGAGTGCAAGAAATGACGGCATTTCCATTCTTTCCAGAAATACTGATCAGCACGTGGTAAACACACCCACACATTCATTAGAAGGCACACAGTTCGTCTTACATCGGATCAATCACACTGACAATCAAAACCACACTTTTTACACAAAGAGAAAGTATAATTGAAAGGTTGATGATAATATGGTGTAATATTAATAACAATAAGCAGCATTGGGTCATGAAACTATATTGAAAATAGATATAAATCAATAGAATATATACTTTTAGATAGCATAATTCAGTTTTGAAGTTATAAAGGCTATTTGTTGTATTTAGAAAACTATATAATGTATTTTTTGTATTGCACATAGTTATACCATCAGATACATTTTTCTTTTGTAACTATCTTTCACCATTTTCGTTAAAGTTTTTGCCTCAAAGTATTCTTTACATTTCAGTCATAGACTGTCTTGTTGTAATACTGTGCTGTGTGAGCAGCCTTGATGACAAAACATCTTGCACTTGTTTGATTACATTTGTGAGTGTGTGTGTGTGTATAATAAAATAAGTTCACTGATAGTGACAGACAAGATCATTTCCAGTGGATCTGGATAAGCAAGAACACACACAACAAAACCACCCGTCTGACTTTTAAGATCTTCTTATGAAACTAAATGCAATTAAGATGAGGTGGGAAATATGATACATTTTCTGAGATAAAAAAACAGAGTTACTTGTGATGAAAGGCGTATAATCTTTTTGCATAACTAGAAAAGGATATAGCTGTAGCCTCAGCTCTTGGAGTTAATGTTTATAATTTGTTCCGGATAGCCAACTGCAGCGGTCTGAGAAAACACACTTCAAAACAAAACGATGTGTCTTGCAAGTGTTAGATACACACACAAGCAGCTGATGAATGTAAGCAGCTATTGGGAACGAAATCATTAAGCCTTAAAACAATGAAACTATTTAAATCAAGCCAGGCAAGGTAAATGCTTGTTGAATTTAAATACCACCTGAATTAAACAGCAACTAATATAACACAACTAAGCAAAAATAACTAATTTTAAAACTGCAATGCAACTGGTAAGCAAACATTAAGCAGGATTTAGGCCTTTTAATATTCACAATTTAAGAGTGTTAATTAACTCTTACATTTTCATATTGTGAATGATATTTTCATATCATATCCGTTTTTTTGTGGCATTATGTATTTAATGACTATACTTATGCTTAGCCTCAGCTCTCAAGTAACAGGCGGTTGTTTAGACAATTGAAGTATGTTTTAAAAACCTTTAATAATTGTAATAATGGGAGTTTTAAGATCCCATGTCCATGAAGTGCTGCCTGTACATCAAAACATTTTATTTTAATATTGTGTCATGACTGAGAGCACCATTAGGCATGAAACATAAATGAAGGATAACTGTATTATATTTACAAAAGACTATTTTATTAATTAATTAATAATTTATTGTCATTATTAATTATTAACTGCAAAATCCTGCATGGTCTTTTGGACAGACTTTGCATAAAGAAGTGACCTAATACTGTCAGTCCATAATATAGGACTTACATCTTCGAAAAGAAGACACTTGACAATGTCACTCTGAACCACTTGGTGGCGCCACAAAATCCTCTAAAACAAAGTTTGCTCGCTTTAAAAAAGACTGAGATCATATAATTCCAAATCTGGCTTCAATACCGCAGAAAAAAATAGGTTTTACAGCACATTTATGGATTTATAGCTATAAAATTCAGTTTGGTATTATGAACTTTTAAAAATAAACCACAGAGCTACCATCCCAAGCCAAGCACTCTTGTAATCCTTCACCATAAACTCTCGGGTGTTTGGAATGTTAGCATCACCAGGTTGAGAGAGGTGAGGGATGTGTTAACATATGACGTAAGACTGGGACTCTTTCTCCCAGTGGAATAAAAGAATAGGACACGGTTGACACACAACACACTAACCATGAGTAGAGTGGTTTAAACGTCAAACCATAGACCAACAGCTACACATCTCTGTTTTTGTGCTCTCATAGAAGAGTATCAGTCACATCAACGTCCACATGCAGCTGCAGGTCTTGTGTATTTCCTTGGTCCCAGGTCAGAGCTTCAGTCATTTTTAAATGATACTGCATAATGGTTTATGGGAATAAACACATTTCACTTGGAACTTTCTGCACTAAATTTCTGATGTTCTTCCAAGCATTTCAGGCAACACCCTGAAGAAAAAATAGTGTTGAAAGGAAGTAGAGAAGATGCAGCGTGTTAACTGGTGAGGTCCTCGATGGGTAAAGGCAGAGCAGCATGAACAACCAATCCAACGTTTTCACACATAAACCGGCTCACACCCTTCCCCTTGCTCTTCCTCTTCATGGGCCTCTTCCTCCTCCAGCTCAGGCTTCAGGCTGCCGGCCCCGTCACTGCTGGACAGGCTTTGTGTCGCCTCTAGGGGTTTGGGATAACGGAATGGACAACCATTATCATCAAAAAATCTTCGGAAAGTAAACTCATAGAAGGCATGTTCAGGGTGTTTGCCGTGAGGAGAACAGAGGGTGTCCCAAGTGCGGGTGCTATCCCCACTATCACTCCAGGCGCCTGGGCCTCCCTCCTCTTCAACAGGATCAAAGTTGGATGTATCCATGGGGTGGGCAATTTTTGGTCGATATGGTGCAGGTTGTGTCCGAAGATTGCTGGAGAAATCCACCTCGGAAAAAAAAGGATGAGCCTTTATTTCTCCAGCCCCATTGCCTCCTAGACGCTCTTCAGCAGAGCAGCAAAGCTGGCCAATAATATCGACTGCCTCTGGGCTTAGTTTTACTTGTGGTGGCACTTGCAAAGTGTTCTCCCAGTTTATCACCTGTAGAGGTAGTGACATCAACAAAAGTTTATTTCTTGTCATCAAAACTCTTAACCTCAAATATTATAAAATATTATTTAAAGAAAACAAAGATGTGCAGTCCTTTTTCCTGCATGGGCACTGTCTTGCCTAATTGAATCACCTATTCAAGTTTTCAGGATTACTAGAAATTTCCAAGTATGTTGGGGTTGGTTGGAACTCTGTATGATACTTGCCCTCCAGGAGCAGGATCAACTAAAAACATGCATACAGAACTCTTACCTTAAGCTGTGTCTCTGTTGGGGTTGGAGCAAGAAAGGGTGGTTGGCCAACCAGCATCTCAAACAGGATCACTCCCACACTCCACCAGTCGCAAAGCTGTGTGTATCCTGTGTATTTAAATTAATTAAAAGGAGCAATTAAAAAGAAAAAGGTTCTATCGGCACTAGCAATTCTTTGTAATGTCCTTGTACTTCCGAGTGACTATGTGAATATTCCTACCTTTGCGCAAAAGCACCTCAGGGGCAATGTAGTTAGGGGTGCCCACCAAAGAATGCGCCAGGCAGCGCTGGTGTTGTCGAGTTGCTCTCTGTTCCAAAGTCATCAGCCGGTCACCACAACGGCAATTAGACACATCATCCCAAAAGTCACTTGGCTCCATGCTATCCTGTCGGATATGGTTCCCTATTCAAGCAGTGCAGAGAGAGAAGGCAACCAATTCATTGGATTTAGTAAACACTGCAACAGCATTAAGGACTTTTTAAAGGCTATAAGCATCACCTTCTCTTACCTTTTTGGTAATACTTTGAGTTGTGAGTCCATCGGAACCCTGTACATAGACCAAAATCAGTCAGTTTGATGTGTCCATCCAGGTCAATGAGGATGTTGTCTGGCTTGATATCTCTGTGGATGAAACCCATCTTATGCACACTCTCAATTGCCAGTGTCAGTTCTGCCACATAAAACCTGGCTAGGACCTCTGGAAAAACTCCCATACGGATCAGCAAGCTCATCATATCTCCTCCAGGAATGTAATCCATGACAAAATACAGATTGTCTCGGTCTTGAAATGAATAGTACAACCTGACTACCCACTCATTGTCAGCCTCTGCTAAAATGTCCCGTTCAGCTTTAACATGGGCTACTTGATTTCGGTTAAGAACGTCTTTCTTTCGCAAAGTCTTCATTGCATACAAGGCTCCTGTGTCTACTTTTCGGGTTAGACACACCTCACCAAAGGCCCCAATGCCGAGTGTCTTGATTTTGACAAACATTGATTTGTCCATCTTGGCACGTCGTAGTCGATTGTAATTGGATTCCTTCTGGTAAAGCATCTTTCTCATCTGTTCCTGCTCAGCCTCTGAAAGGCCAGCCTAAAATAATGAAAGAGATTCTTAGAGGTGGCTCAGTTGAAAACAAACAAAAAATATACCCTTTTATGGATAACTCAAAGAGTTAACAACTCAATTATACAAATTGAAGAGTAAACGGTGTTCTTTGTGATAAACAGTTCCAGCATAGCTTACCTTGGACATCTCTTGCTCCAGCTGCATTCTGCGATTAAGTTTCTGCTGGTATGTCTTCATCACATTCTCCACATGTTGCTCCATGTAGAACTTAAAGGCAAATGGAGAATAACTCTTAATACGAGACTCCCTCTTCTCTTCATCACGGGCATTTTTTCGTACAGGCACAGGTGATGTCTGGATCTGCTTCTTATCCTTCACAGCCTTTTCTCCTTTGCCCATTTTCACTTTGTCTTTGAAGATGGGTTCCTCCTGCTTTCCTACCGAGGAACTCTGGATGGTCCTACCTGTGGCACTGACATCTTGAAGTCCACTCATGGCTACAGGCTCTAAGGATGCAGGCTCAGGTCCAGATCCAGACACAAGCAGTGTTTTGGGGTAAGGTGGAGGTGGGCATCGATGTTCTTGACTGGGTTCCAGGGTAAAATTCTCATCTGGGATGTATCCAAGAGAATCCTGTGCTTCCGGGGATTGTGCACTCAGCCACCCTGGATGGCATGGTCCCACTGCTGTCTTCGGCTCAGGCCTCATGACCCGTATACTCTTAACAGGTGGCTGAATTGGTGGAGAGGTCACTGCAGTTATTGTGTTAGGTGGGCCTAAAGATGACTCTGGCTTCCCAGCAACACTAGCTGTTGGGGGCAATGTCTGCCTCACAGTCACCTTTTGGTGGTTGTTGAAAGAATTGGTCCGACTGGGGACGCGTACCTCCCCTCTGAAGGGCCCTTGTGGCTGCCTGGCTGGAGGAGTCCCCTCAGGACCTTGAGCTCCTGGCCAGTGATGCTCATACAGGTCAAGATTTAAACTGGCCCTGGAAGGGGTGAGAAGGCCTTGAGGAACATCAGAGAACTCCCCACCCATAGCTCCAGGGGCAACACCTGGGGGGCGCTGCATCATGTGAACCTGGTGTGAGGTGGGGCTAGCTTGGCGTGGATGTGAATGTGGTGGCAGATATAAGTTGGGAGCATAGCCACCAGCATTTTGGCCCATTGCTGCTTTTCTTGGCATATTGACATAATTTTCTGGAGTTAGTTGGGGCATCTTATTCTGAAAGGAAGCACTTCTTTTGACCCCGTAGCTGGAATTCTCCATCATATGCGACCTGTAGTCATAATGTGCTCCAGGCCCTCCTGAGGGCTGAGACTGGATTTGCATGGGTGGTCCAGACACACTGTACCCCATCATGGCCTGGTCAATCCCACTAGGGTATCCTTTTTGCTGGGCTGGACCAGGGGTGTACATTGGATTCCCAGTATTATTTTGAGGAGCCATGTTTGTGGAGTAAGCACCCATACTTGCAGGGCGTCCCATCGGGTTTCCCATGGTAGCACCCTGTGAAGGGTTGGCAGGCGGTGGCATGTAGTTCATGACAGGTGGTCCACCCATGTATGCCCGAGCCATCTCACCCTCAGCCCCATAACTAGCTCCCTCATACAATGGTGCTCCCATTTGATGATAAGGGGGAAGTGCACCATCCCCACTGCCTTCCATTGCTGTCCTGTGGTCCATCAAATTTGGCATGCCACTTTTTCCTATAGGAAATATTAATAGGTTCAAATACAGAACATAATTCAAGTCATATCATAGGTATAGTGAGTGTGGTTTAGTATTCTCTTGCCTGGGGAAGTCTGTTTGATGACACGTACAATCTGTTCAGTGTGAGGATCAAGGTAACTCATTTTGCTAATGTATTCCAATGCTGCCTCGATGTTACGGCTACCAGTCTGTTTCAGGGCACGCACTGCCATTTCCTGTTTTAGAAATTCAAGCAGAGAACTATTAAAACAATTGCAAAGCACACATCAGAGCATTTACTGTCATTATGCACTAATAAACACAACTTCTAGAATCAAATAAGTTTTCCTTAAGATCCTGACCTGAAGCTTTTAAAATTTATATTACATTGAGATTTTACTCAATAACACAGAAGATGCTAAAACAAGCAGAATCCAATTGTGTTTTTTTACACCAGCTACTGAAAATATTCGTTTGCTACATGCACCAGTGTAACCTAGAGGGATTTGCCACTGGAGAAAATGAGCCAAAGTAGCCTCCTTTACTACTGAGGTATACATAATATACTTTTACTACTTAAAATTGGCCCTTGTACAGTTTTAGAATTTGTAGGGGACACTAGTGGTTATGGAAAATGCCCATATTAAACGTTTAATTTTTAGATAAATGCATATATGTGTACAAAATTTACATTTGAACAAGCCTATAAATATAAACCGGCCTATGAACACCTACAGTACATAATGGTCAAAATAACATTCTCTGCAGCTGCTTCCTCTGCAAGTTATGCACAAGCTCCTTCCTGTGCCAGGCTACAAGCGTACTATGACCGGAGATTGGCACATTCGACCACACAGTAAGAAACTTGCAATTATTAATGAATTCCATGGAAATAAATCTCACTATTCAAAGTGAGACTCACTTCTGATTTTTAAAGTCTTTTTTGTACTATTTATTTAGCGCTTCAAGGCAATGTAAAGTGTTGTGTTAATTAAAATTATTAATTTAGAGGCTCATTAAAAAAAGTAGTTCTCCTCAGTTTGAATATATACTCATGATTACCTTCATGCAACAACTCTGTTTCAACCTGAAGAGGTCTTCAAATTAATCAAAGGTTTTCCTTGTCACATTTTGTAAGGACTGTGATCCAAGAGAAAACTCAAACGTGTAAAGTATTCTATGAGTAGAGACCCACACCTATTTGAGGAAATCCCCTTGAATGGCATATGACCTCATTCAGAAGACATTCTGCCCAAGTCAATTTCTACAGCAGCACAAGCTGTGTTACGCTGCCTCTGCTGGGCAAACTTGATACCGCACCAAGCATGCCATGGAAAGAAAAAAATGCCTAATTCAGCACATACTTGTGCATTTTGACCTCTGTGTATTCAAAGAAATGCCAACTGGCAGAGTGAAATAAAGACAAAGTTACAATAGTAAAGAGTATTTCTGAGCTTTGGTCAGACAATGCTAAAACTCATGTCCAAGTAAAAACTGAATGGGTGTAAACAAGCAGACATTCAAACAGTGAGCACACTCAGTATTGCAGCGCCACATCCACACACATTCTACACATTCCCAGAATAGTTTAGAATTACCCTATGTGTATCTTCACCAGCATGTCTAAATGCGTATTCACACATTTGCTGGAACTTCGGTTAGTACTGTACAAAACACACAGTCTGTGATCGCCGTCTCAGAAGTGCCAGCACTTTCTGTTGCATTCCATCACTGTCCGCTCCAAGGGTGTGTGCCTTCACATCCCTCTTAGTGATTTAAAGGCGCCACTCTCTCTTTTTAAAACACACACACAAAACAGTCCACCATTGACTTTAGTCTGGTTTCGGGAAGGGCTGGGTCTGGTTTGGCCCCAGGTCAGAGTTTCAGCCCTGACCTCCACTGTCAAGGCGACAGATGTTCAGGACATTCCACGAGCCAGGAAGCAAGAATTCTAGCTATGTGGAAATCTATGCCTCAATCTATGTTCAAATTGTCTCTCCCCCCTCCCCTTTTTATTTTTGAGAGCATTCTGTTCTAGTGTGTCTTTAGAATTCATTTGGTCTGTTCCAAAATATCCCGTTTGTATTTACACCCTCGTCATGACCACAAGCCTCAATGCTACACTAGACGTTCAATTTCTGACTGTGGTGTCTCTATGTACACACATGAAAACACAAGCTTTTCTCCTTTTAAAAGTAACCCCCCCACACACACACACACTTTCTACTTAAAGCATTTTTATACATTATTCGCTGTTCATTCTGAACAACTTCCACTTTGACCCAAATTCTGAAACACATTCCGCCATTAAATTTGAGAATGAAAACCATATGGAGGACTCTGAGATTTTTGACCGGATGGACAACATCATCCTCATGATCTGTGAATGGATCCATAAGAGCTCAAACAGCAGATAATGATGCTAACAATGCCTTTGTCATGGGTTCAATTCTTACAGATATTCAGAACATACACCTAAACACTAGCAAACAATACAGCACCATCAAAAAATAAATAAATCTTAGCCAGACTAATGGAATAAGAAACAAAATAAAATGACGTAAAAAAGGAGAGAGAAAAAAATTACAAAACAATAATAATTACAGAGACATTATTAACCTATAAATCTAAGAAAGGGGACCCATATTTTGTCATCTTCTGTTTGCCAAATCTAGAGAAACGTCACCTTTCTAGCTTGAGGGCAGAAACCATTTCAGCTAACCATTTTAAAAACCTGGAGGTGACGTGGATTTCCACTCCATCAAAGTCACTCTGTTGGCCAGCACCACACCAAACGTAAGGGAGAGTTGTTCATGTTTAGGCCAAGTTAGAGCCTGGTCTGAACATCCAAACAATGCTAATTCCACATTAATTTTAATGTCCATTTTAAAAGCCTGTGAATAAAGTCTGACGATACTTTTCCAAACTTCAGATACTTCTGGACAGGAGCAGAATATATGACTATAGGCCCCGACTGTGCACACAAAGGTGAGGATGCAGCTTATTAAGTTTGGCTTAAATAATTTTTCATTCATTCATTTTCTTGTCGGCTTAGTCCTTTTATTAATCCGGGGTCACCACAGCGGAATGAACCGCCAACCTATCCAGCAAGTTTTTACGCAGCAGATGCCTTTCCAGCCGCAACCCATCTCTGGGAAACATCCACACACACTCATACACTATGGACAATTTAGCCTACCCAATTTACCTGTACCGCATGTCTTTTGACTGTGGGGGAAACCGGAGCACCCGGAGGTAACCTACGCAAAGGCAGGGAGAACATGCAAACTCCACACAGAAACGGCAACTAAGCCGGGGTTCGAACCAGCGACCCAGCAACCTTCTTGCTGTGAGGCGACAACACTACCTACTGCACCACTGCCTCACCTTAAATAATTATTGTTAGATAAAATCTTTTGTAACACTGAATGAATTTTTACTTGCACTTTAATCAATTTAATGCACCCTTGCTTAAAATTATTCATTTAAAAAGATTAATAAAAAATATATAATAGTAGCCTTTGTGATCTTAAAAAAATTTTTTATAATTTGCTTTGCCCTTCTTTTGGGATGACATTCACCATCTATCTTGCTTTTAAAGCAACATCCCACCAAACACTTTGTTCATTTGTTAGGCATAACTTCCACTTTTCATGATCCAATCGATTCCTAAAGTGGGAACTAGGGCTGCACAATATATTGTTTCAGCATTGATATCGCAATGTGCGAATCTGCCATAGCCACATTGCAGGGTCTGCAATGTCAAGCTAGGATTATAATTAACCAGCTCAGAGTAAATGATTTAATCACAAAGATGAACCCTAATATAACTTAGAAAGATTTGTTATTTTTATTTGGATGTGTTTTAAGGCCTGTGATAAAGATTTCAAGTTATTTTAAACTATTTGTGGACAAGAAATTATAAAGTTTTTACACTTAAAGAATGACTGTTTATTTTGTACGACGAAGACTCATTACAGTCTTATTTTACATTAATTTCTGTATGTCAGTACTGTTAAACCACTGAAAATCATCTAGTGTTGCTTGTTTTATTTGTATTATTGTTCTGTTGATTTTATCCATACTTTAATTTGTTTATTTTAGAAATTTCTAGATAATTTTGAATATTTTATGCAGCGCTAAAAGCTCTGCCCAACATTAATTCTTGTTAAATATCACATATCCCCCAGAAACATCACCTATTTCAAATGGCGTAGTTGACTTTTAATGTCAAAGCTATGTTACAAAGCTTGTGGTTGTAGACTGGTCATATTTGGTTGCAGGAAAAGCCTAATATAAACATTCAGGCCAAGTGCCAACATGATATGCCAACACACACTACACATGTATCACATCACGCATATTTCCCAAGTACACAAACATCACATGCATGATGTATACAGGCAGCGTTTTGGATCCTATGCTCAAAACCACAAATCCACAACATATGTCATGCTCATCTTCTTCCTGTACCCCCTCCCACCCCTTTCATTCCCCCAACCAAAACATTTCCGCCATCAAAGGTGGTTATGTAACCACTGGCCGCATTGCTGTGTAATTTGTGAGGCGAAAAACCAACGATAATGATCAAACCAAAGAAGCGCAGGGAAGGACCAGAGGCAGGCCTTTACCTTCCTGGAATGTGCGGAGGGTCAATGGAGAAACACAAGCCCCAGTCACAAAACTAAAAATACCAAGTCACACACCATGACTGAGTCATTTCACAATAATCACGTTATTACTAATAATAAAAACATGCAAAAAAGTACCCAGACCTTGGGATGGGAGGTCTAGGTGCATGTGGTGTACAACGAAGAACTGACTCACACTAAATCTGAATACGAAGTCAGACAGGCTAAGCCACAAAACACAAATGTCATGTTTTTGTAAAAAAAAAAAAAAAACGTCAGCCCACACATTAGGACAAAAACATGCCAGGGATCGAGTGTATCCAGAGGAAACGCCCATTTACTACAGAACTGAACACTTCCTCTTTGTGTATGAGTGTTGTACATGCTGTAATAAAGGCAGTGTAAGACAATCCATCTAATGATTGTGAAATTTTCACATCTATGAGATATTACACTCACAGCCTTTTGAGATACCAAGTGCCTTTTTGGTCTATTTTATGGCCAGTTTTTCCCTTAAGGGCAATCAAAATAATTAATAAATAAACCACTGTTTAATGTTAGGACTGTCACAATTAATAAATAATCATCCAGTTAATTATTCAACTGTTTAAATTAATTATTATTTAGAATTTAACATTATTACTGTGGAAACCCAAATAAACTTTATACATTTGATTTGATTTATTTACTACGAACAGAAAAATCACAAAACAATTCTTTCAACAAAATACATTTCAACATGGTCGAAATGGAGCAGGGTGAAGCACAATATTATTAAATACATTTGTTTATAATCTAATCTGTTTTCTTTTCTGTATATACCCAAGAGTATATACCCAATGTATGATCTGAAACCTAATTGTTAATATTCACATATTTATTGAATGAAATGTCTGTTGAAATGTGCAAAAAAAAAAAAAAAAATCAGCCAGCATCAGGACCGACATCGAAAGATAAAACGGTCAAGAATGTACGCAAACAACATGATCCAAATCAAGTCTGTCTCCATACTATACTTCATCTGATAGCATGTTTCAGCTTCCAGAGACCTAAAAAAGCCCCATTCCAGTCTCTATTTAGCCCTGTCATAAAGGCAGCTCGGCTCCCTTCAGCGAGGCCTCGTAATTCCACTGGGCCGTGGTGGATTTCTCAGTGGTGTTGTGCATGGGCTTGAGCACAGCATTCCTCACATGCCGAATGCAATCACAGAGCCGCTCTCTGAGCTCCAACTCAACATTAGCAGCAAAGCCCCAACACATATTCATTAACGGCCTGACAAGGGCTCTGTATTAGAGAGTCTGAAACAAAGCACACTAAACATGCTAAAGGCCTTGCATGTCTGACACGCGTAAATAAACAACATATTATTAAAAAAGGCATACTATGCATAAAATTGGCATCATTCATTCATTCATTCATTTTCTTTTTGGCTTAGTCCCTTTATTAATCAGGGGTCGCCACAGCGGAATGAACTGCCAATTTAGCCAGCATTTGTTTTACGCAGCGGATGCCCTTCCAGTAGCAACCCAACACTAGGAAACACCCATACATTCTTGGATTCACACTCATACACTATGGCCAGTTTAGTTTATTCAATTCACCTCTACCGCATGTCTTTGGACTGTGGGGGAAACCGAAGCCCACGGAGGAAACCCGTACGAACACAAGGAGAAAAATGGCGTCATATTTTGTGAAAAAAGAATATCAAGGCTAACAACTATATTTTGGTCATTTCAAATAGCTACCCAAAATGTAAAATATCTGCCATGAAATGTAAATTTCTATATTTACATTTAGATTTTCATTTTAGATTATATTTTAGTAACCACGTTATGTGAAATATTATAAATATAATTAAACTTACTATATATATATATATATATATATATATATACAGTTGAAGTCAGAATTATTAGCCCTCTTCAATTTTGTTTCTTCTTTTTCAAGTATTTTCCAAATAATGTTTAACAGAGCAAGTGATAATATTTTTTCTTCAGGAGAAAGTCTTATTTGTTTTATTTCGGCTAGAATAAAAACAGTTTTAAATTTTTCACGAACCATTTTATGGACAAAATTATTAGCCCCTTTAAGCTATATTTTTTCTCGATAATCTACAGAACAAACCACTGTTATACAATAACTTGCCTAATTACCCTAACCTGCCTAGTTAACTTAATTAACCTAGTTAAGCCTTTAAATGTCTCTTTAAGCTGTATAGAAGTGTCTTGATAAATATCTAGTAAAATATTATTTACAGTCATCATGGTAACAATAAAATCAATCAGTTATTAGAAATGAGTTATTAAAATTATTATGTTTAGAAATGTGTTATAAAAATCTTCTCTCCGTTAAATAGAAATTGGGGATAAAATAAACAAGCGGTCTAATAATTTAGGGGGGCTAATAATTCTGACTTCAACTATATATATATATATATATATATATATATATATATATATATATAGTAAGTACTTACTACTATATATATTTCATGTTAGTTCAAATTAGCCAAAACTATTTTTGATTGCTTTAGCTTACAGCATTTTGTGGAATGTGTCTGTTTGTCAACTATACAATGGAAATCATTGGTCAGCAGAACTGTCCTGTCACCAACATTCCTCAAAATATCTTCCTTTGTGTTCCACTAAACAGACAAAGTTATTCAGGTTTAGAACAACATGTGTTCATGGGTAAATGATGACTCTACTTCTGAGTAAATCTCTTCTCAAATTCATCCACTACAATTAAATACAAGGACCAGAGTGCAGGTAACACATTTAACTAAAAGGTGATTGCACAATGGCCAATAATGCACACACCAACACAAATACACAACAACCAGTTACAAAATACAACGGCAGTATATTCTAGTATAGTATTTGTTTGTTAACTGATCCATAACTAACTTAAACTTTTATTAGGATAAAGAGAGTTAGTTAAAGACAGACATGAACCACAAGACACAAGCCTGTATACATGTTTGTGTTTTGAATCAGATCTGATTTGGCTTCTGCCACTTCCTGTGGGGTAGAGATGTTGCACTGAGCTCCTCAAGAAAAAGCTAAATAGCCAAATAAATTGTGAAAACTGCAGTTTCAACATTGCACTCAGTATTATGTAATGATTTCAGATTTGGCCAAGACTGCATAGACAGCGCTGAATCAGTAAATATCTACTGTAAGGCTGCAAAATATATCGTTTGAGCATCACTGTTGCAATTTATGTATCCGCAATAGCCACATCGCAGGATTACACAGGATTATCATATTATAGTTGAACAGTATAAAGACATACATGATTTGTTGAGTCATTGCAAATTAACGATAATTAGTATATCATCTGCATGTGTTTTAAGGCATGTGTCTGTGTGAGCATTTCAAGCCACTTTAAAAAGTTTAGGCACAAAAATTTGTACCTTTAAGAAACAATTATTTTATTTATGTGCATATACGATGAAGATAAACCATACAGTGTTATTTTACATTTGATTATTCAGTTTGTGCCTGGATACTGCTAATCTTTGCTCTATTGTATTTATCAGTGCTTGTGATAGGTTTATTATATTTTATGCAGATGTGCTCTCCCACAAAATTATCACATTAGTCTAATTTTATGTATTCTTTCCAATTACTGCTATTCATTACATCTGATGAAATTATACTAATTATCGCATTATATATTGCAGAACAATAACATATTGCAATGTCAGTTTTTTTACATCATGTATATCACGCAGCACTAATTTACTGAATATTCTTCAAAGCTGCATATTTCCCAAGCACTGCTCAAGGCTCAAGAATTTCCACAAACATTTCTAAATGTGTGACATTTATGATGAGTAAGATGAGCTTATTTCAAAAAAGAAAAAACCCTGGCCAGAATCAATAGAATTTATGAAGATATGAGATACACAATTTGAAAAAAAAAATTATATATATATATACATACATACATATATATAGAGATATATATACAGTAAATATACACGAGGAAAAGCCACTCTGGAGTTTGAGTAAAGCTTAATTTAGTTTATTTTGTAAATTTCTGATGGTATTTCTTTCAAAATTAAAAAAGAAGAGATTTAGATCACTTTTTATATAAATCTCAAACATAAAATGGAATATTTGTTTATAATCATTTTTAAAAAACACAATGCCAATGTTTTTATTTAAGATGAGTTTATTTGGAGTTAAAGTGCTGATTTTCAATCATAGCAAATCAAAAACAATGGGGATTTTTTTATTGAAATAAACATGATCCCACCTTTATAGAAAAAACAAACATTAACATTTTACTCAAACATAAAGCTAATAAATGTCGGACATCCAGAAAACTGAGAAGTTTTAAGTGGTCTCTTATTTTTTTCCTAAAACTATACGTTATTGTTATTATCAAGTTACTGTTGACTACAATTCATATCACAATATATACATTTATCTATTTGTATTTAGACTGTATAAATAAAAATGTATATGAAACAAAGACTTTTACCTGATCGCAACCGGCATTGACCAGATCCTGTAGCATCTGTCTGCTGACCTCACCGGGATGCCCGGAGCTGGATCCTGGACCTGAATCATTGGCATAGGGCCTCAGAGACTTGCGGATCTCTCGGAGGGCACTCTGGTAGTTGTTAAACTTCTGGGGCGGCCGGAGCTGCTGTTGTCTGGCAGCCTGGTCTTTGCCCTTTGAGTCTCCACCTCGACCACCCTCTCCTCGAGAGCTGCCTCCATGAAGCGCCTGACTCACCAGCTTCGCTGGCTGTTTCAGACCCTCCTTGATGTCCTGCAGGCGCTGGCGTGTGTTGCCCACATATGGAGTGGCAGGGAACGTCTTCGGCCTCATGAGTGAACTTTGTGTTTTCTCTCACACAAACTCTTCACACTAGGAAAGACAGAAAGATTCAGTAAGTGAGCGCCGGATACTCTGGAAGTTGCATTGGGTCAACAATGCAACATTCTTGGTACATAAAATGATGATTACAGACACAAACAATACTGTTGATATCAGTTTCCGAACAATGTTTTACCAGTTGATGAACAAATAAAAACTGGCCAATCAGAATCTATCCTGCTTTACAGAATGCAATCATTTAAGTCACCATGTGCTAGCTACAACAAAAGAATGTGTTAGCTAAAATTTTTATATATAGCTATATTAACAACTATCATTCCTGGTTTGACAAGGCATTATGTTTTTTAAATAATTATTACTAAATTAATGTCAAATAAGCTGCCAGCTGTCCTATAAAATGTTTCACCTTTTTTTTAAGTTTACAAAAATTACAAGAAAAAAACTTGAATTTTATTTTTCTCACTCAGCAACAAATTAGATAAATTCATAAAATCATCCAAAAAGTAGGAATAAAACAAGTAATTATAGTTTCCTTTAATTATAAACACAATTTTGTTATAAATGCTAAGTCTAAACTAATTTGTTTAAAATGAATCTAGCAGGGTAAACGTGTTCCTCATACATCACCAATTAAATTGTGTTTGGTTCTTCGGCATGTTTTGCTAGCTTGATGATGAATCGGTTTTGTCAGAATGCGTCAAAATTAAAATAATGGATCATTATTATTCATTCATTTTCGGCTTCAACCTTTTATTAATCATAGGTCGCCACAGTGGAATGAACCGCTAACTTATCCAGCATATGTTTTACACAGCGGATGGCCTTCTAGCTGCAACCCATCAGTGGGAAACTTCACCTATGGCGGGAAACCGGACCACCCAAAGGAAACCCATGCAAACACAGGCAGAATATGCAAACTTTACACAGAAACGCTAACAGACCCAGCCAAGGCTCTAACCAGTGATATTCTTGCTGTGAGGCGATCATGCTACCCACTAGGCCACAGTGACACCCTAATGGCTCATTAGTCAATGTTATTTAATGTATTTATTGACATGAACCAATTATAAACCATATTTTACAGTAATTGATTATTAATTTGTTTATTAATCATTTAGTTATTAATTTGCAAAGTTCTTGTTAACAATAGGTAATATAAATACCTAATAACCTTGACCAACATTAACAGACATGAATTATACTGTAATAAATGCATTGTTTGTTTTTTTATCCTCATGTTAGCAAATAACTTAACATGAACTAATGAAGCATTATTTTAGCGTTACAGAACTTTATTTACAAATTTGACATTGAATTTGGGATGATGTAATAGTGGCAACAAAAAAGAAACATTCATGCTTCTACCTGCCGACAAGTGAAGATTTATTTTTATACATATAGAAATTTACTCTTAAATAATGCATTTTATTTTTTATTGAACTCTTAAAAAATGACATTTACGATTTGTTCAAACTACTTATTTAAAATGAGCAGAAACAACACAATTCTTAAGCTCTTTTGTGACAGCTTAATTGTTGTACGTTCATTCCACTTAAATTTGTAAAAACTAAAAAGCTAACTAAGTTGGCGGTTCATTCCACTGTGGTGACCCCAGATTAATAAAGGGACTAAGCCGAAGATGAATGAATAAATGAAAAAACTAACTTTATTCCTTCATGTTGCCCCAACACAAATCCTTTTGTTTCCTTCTTTGAAATCAAATTATGCACAACATATATTGTTGCATGGTTTGTTAAATCCTAAAATAAGCCAAACAACTGTACACACCCAGACTCAATCTGACCTGAATAGATAACACAGGCTGCAGTGAGAAAGATGTGAGTGGAGATTAGCACTGCTGTTGTCGCTAGTCTTTGTAGCTGCTGCCTCTTTGGCTCTGGTGTGCGCTGGATGCAGGTCTACTCACATCCCAGCAACCCTTTCAAGGCTCACACTCCCCCTCCTCCAAAGACATGTGAGGGTTTACGTCTGCATGCTTCTTCCATCCCAGTCTGGTATGCATGTTTGCCTGTGGGGACAGTGGTGGTCAGAAGGGGAGATTTGGGCAAGTCAAAGGCCCTGCATCATTACTCTATGTCAAATACTGGAGATTGATTGAATATCAGCCCCTCTGTCAGAGCTTTATAACGAAACACAAGCAGGTCAGCTACTGTCTTGAAGCTAAATATGCAGTTGGGTGTTTTAATGTAAAACCCTTCCATTAGATATTAAAATTAAAATTACTACACAAAACAAATAATAACATGCTTTATATACACTAGGGCTGCACAATATATCACTTTAGCATCGATATCGCAATGTGATCATTCGCAATAGTCACATCGCAAACATTTGCAATGTTGAGTCTGGATTATTATTCATCATTTTGCAAGTGTTTTTTGAGGCATTTGACTGTGAGGGTTTTAAAAACATTCAGGCCTATAAGAAATTGTACTGTTTGTAACATTTAAAATTAATGACGATTGAATTGTTAACAATACAAAGACTGTGCAGTATTATTTTACATTTGATAATTCAATTACTGTATTCAATTCACCTATAGTGCATGTATTTGGACTGTGGGGGAAACCAGAGCACCCACAATAAACCCACGCAAACACTGGGAGAACATGCAAACTCCACACACAAATGTCAACTGACCCAGCTGGGACTTAAACCAGTGACTCTCTTGCTGTGAGGCGACAGTGCTAACCACTGAGCCATTGAAGCTCTTCAATATTACATTCAAATGTAAGCTTCTACAGAAAATACCTTGAATGTAAAACTGGAGGCATCATGAAATGTTTAGTCATGTCTTCACTTTATGCTGGATATAATCAAAGATTTTTACACAGTTTTTTACATTTATCAATTCAATTTGCAAGTACAACCCAAGGTGCAGAGCATTCATTCAAACACTTATAGAAGATCAGAGACAATCTCGAGAAATTCATCCTTAAGAAAACAAAAATTAAATAAGTACATATTCATTTCCATACAAACTGCCTAACGGATCATTTTCTGTACATTATTTATTAACAAATGGCAGTGAGTGTATGCATGGCATGCATTCCACCATAGAATAAAAGTAATATAAACTATTGTTATTAGTGATAATAACTGCAAATGTATATCTTGCACAAAGAAATTAAAAAAAGTCATTTGTAACATAAAATATAAACTCAGAACTGAAGATAAATGTAGTATGGAAAAGTCTTTTAAAAAACATGCACTGCTAATTTTCTACTTCTATGAATTCCACTGAAATTTATCGATATTCAAAACAAACTTTAAAGACCTTTTATGCTCAACATATCGTCTTCTTAGTGTTAGAAGGTTCACTCTGGCGGTTTTGTCAAAATTGAGTTATTGACATATTCTTATTAAATGACAACTTATTTACATTATGGGATGTTTTTTATAAGTTGTTTACATTTTAAGACTTTTTATTTAAAAAACAAATGTTACACACAAACTGTTTGCTATTGAATGCAAAAACTTTGAAGCTCAATATCTCAAAATCATTCAGAAGCAGATAGAACCTTAAAATTCCAAAGTGACGATGTACTGATTTTTATTTAGAGCTGCATTAACTTTTAAATAATTAAAATGTTATAATTGTGTTTAATTATTACTTATAGAAAGAGCAAGCCAAACAATCCTCCACATATCATTTATTGCAATAGTCTTTCATTTATTATATGCTGGCACTGAAAATAATGCAAGTTATGCTGGCAATGGCACTGGCAAATAAAGAGTTAAATAAAAAACATTTTTTTGAATATTTTTCATATTGCTGATATTTGTCACAATATCTTCCCAGCAAAGTAGAAAGTAGGAATCCACATTTCAAGAGCACAGTTCCATAATGACATGAATATTCTGGCTTCCCTCTACATTAACTTATAATCACTACTCTGTAATCATCACAAGCCCAAAAATTCAGACAACACACAAAAACAACAGGATTAAATATGAAAACAGTTCCCAACACATGTCATCATCATCATCATCATCATCACACATGTCCAACATGAAAATAGGGGGATCATTTCGTGGGTGGAGTGAATTACACAGTTTCAAAACAATAAACGTGTAATGCGATCGCCCCGCTGTAGTACATCATCATCTAAACTTACAGTACGGCTAAAAAACATCTGATTTGGGGAAAACATCTGACGGCGCGAGACACATAAACAAAACCCTGTGGGAAGCAGAGCTGGTTTTGTTACGCACGAGTAAAAATACAACTTTACGTTAACTTACCTGCAGCTCGTGGCAGCGTCTACTTCATCACCAAAAACAAACCTCTAAATGAATGTAGACATACGTTGTATTATAAACGCTAGTTACACATTTGTTACCTTGACATTTTGTTTAACATATAACAAAGCCACATATTACGCCACACAAAGGTGTTTTTAACATACATAATCGCTTATTATCCTCTTTAAAGGAGCAAACATGGGGTATTCAAAATGCTTCTATAAGCACAAAGTACCGTTAATACGGTTTACAGTCGCGGGGCCTAGAGGACGGTCCCAGCGCTTCAGAGGGACTGGAGCGAGAGGAACGCAGATCCGCTGGAGCAAATCCGCATTCCAGCGCAGGGAGAATGTGCTGTTCACTCCTATCCCACTATAAATGAGCAACACGGCCTATTTACTCAACTTACACGGCATTTACGAGCGCAAATCAAATGCAGAATCCCCTGAAACCAACTAATGCCCAGCTTTTTGAAAAGTTTGTAAAGTTTTGAGCGACTCACCATGTGAAATAAGCGGTGCCTTAATCCAAGGAACTGATTTAAACTTCAGTAAAGTTGCGGACTATCTGTCTAAAGATTTGTTGGCCTTTCTTCGTCCTCTCATAAAAAGCACGGAGTGAAAATCATGGGATTGTCCTCCATTTTCTCGCCACTCACGGCAGAATTAGAATGCAGTACAAAGTTGGACACTTACTGCATTGTTAACATTCCAGAGGAGTCACGTGAGGCGGCCATGCACGTCAGCGTTGCACATACCCTGGGCGGGGCTTCCGACATTTACAACGCTGAGATTCTGATCTGATGCACAAAAGCAGATATGTGCAATGGCAGGAGAATATTTCACTATCCCCCTACTTTGCTGGTCTATTATAAGTTGCTCGCATAGGTATTACCGTTATAGCTAAATAATTAATGTTATAACTAAATAGTGAATGAAATAACTAATTAGTGAACTAAATAGTTCCCAGATCCTTCTTGGGCTTCTCACTCAACTGATTGCTGCATTGCTTTCTTCAATCAATCACTGGTTTGTCTCAAGTCCTCAAAGAAATGAAATATTACATATAATTAAGAGACCAAAGACCTTAGATTGTAAAACAGGAGATTTGTAGTTGACACATGCCATTTCATGTTGTAAATGAATAAAATAACACTTTCATCTGTTCTTATTTACCTTGTAAAATGTATTTTGAACCGGTATCACTTTATTTCGATGGTCTCTTTAATGCAGTTTGTTGAATTGAAGTTACATTGCATATACATGCCAACTAATTCTCAACAGAATAGATTATGTAGACTGATAGGTTGGGGTTAGGGTAGGTTGACATACTTGAAAATTTCTTATAGTCAGTGAAATGTCTGTTAAAGGAACTGTATCGGCCCATATTAGACACTCTACTAATACTCAAATGAAAAGTAGGGTTGTAAGGTTTATCGGTACTATGGTAGTATCGTGATACTATGTCTTCATAATACTGGCAGTGCCACTGTAGTTTTTTAGTATTGTCATTAACAGTCTGTCTACAATATATAATGTTGCATGTGGAAAAGTCACTAAAATGCTTAAGTTTCGGCAACAATAGACCATTGTATTTTAATAGTCTATGGAGCCTTCTAAGGTTGCAAAACTGTGTAGAAGTCACACTTTTTAAGGTAGCCTATTGCATATTTTTCTGATGCTTCAGTTTGAATCTAAATTCATTAATTTCTGCTCCTGTCAATATAGTTTAATAGCTACAGCATCCGTGACAATCTCTTAAAAAGAACAACACACAAATTGAAATTTTGAATTACTTTAGATTCTTATAAGACTGAAAAAAATAGATGAAAAACCCAAAATAGCAACAGGAAACATTGAAACCATTTTAGAGCACTTCATATAGCCTAAGTTTGTTGCAAAAATGCTCTTTTGTAACAAATTTTGTTTGGTATAATTTGTTACTTTATTTTAATGTATTTTTTTTTGCTGGTACAAATATATTTTAGGTGAAGAGACGTGCAAATACTTTTTCCAATAATAAGGGAATAATATATCAATTAATGTTGACCTATTATAACAAATATAGTATTTCTGCCATTTTTCTTTATTACATGGATTTGAGTTATGAATTACAGTATTGGTATCACAATGCTTCAGCTGGTATATTATCGTGACATTAATTAATTGTATCACGACAAACCTAATGAGAAGTAGTTGCAACTTTTAGTCAACAAAATACAATAGGTACCATCAAAATAAAGTGTAAACCTTTTAGTCCTGCAGTGTGGCAAATTCATTTTTTCCAAGTATAAATGTGAGTCACCAAAATAAATATATTTTGATGTAAAGTTGGTTTTATATTCACACATTCTGACTTTCTCCTTAATAATATAAGTTTAGAAAAGTATTCTTTGCTAATTCTAAATAGGTAAATCATATTAGCATCCAAAGGCCATCAAAGTACAACACTGTTCACAGTCAAATAAATAGTGCTAATGTTGTTTTGAAGTCATACTTACAGTACATGTGATTTCAGAGCAAATGTTCAAAGTAACATGGTAAACAATATAGGGAGCAAGTCACAAGTTGTCACTGAATGAATGTGTGAATATAAAACCAACTTTACCTCAATCGAAATGTAAATTTAGCTTCTGATTATTTCTGCTGATTAAAATAAATACTCATACAATAAAGATGCCGAAGAATAACCGTTATTACAAAGTTTATGGGAACATTTTCTTACATGTTATACAACAGGATGCTACATTGACCTACAGTTGTGTTGGTCGTCTCTGCACATCAGACACATGACAAAAATGGGAAAACAGAAGCATCATCTTCTCAAACGCAGATAAACGGAGCTCACAAACACATTTGAGTGACAGCCAGGAAGGATAAACAAGTGCAATGGTTGAACTTCAGAGTGAATACATCATGCTAAATTCTATTAATGTTGATTAAAACAATGATCACACACAATGCAAATAACTAAATGGTAATTCTATGGTACTTAATCCCATAGTAATAGTGACTAGGCATCATCAGAAGTAAAAAGCACAGTACTGCTGGGTTATTGACAAAAATATATTATATATCTATACAGAAGCGAAAGAAAACCATAGGAGGCTTAACTCAGACAAAGGCACTGGAACCTAAAGGCAGCTGCTGTCAAAGTAAATGACTATAAGAGTCTCTGACCGAGGCGATTCTTCAGGGCCTTGAATATTTGAAATTCTCAGCATACAACTTCCACTCTCGACAATACCAATTTAAAGTTAAGCTATGGATGGAATGTCTCTATCAAACCAAAGCATCAACAAAGTCAGCTCAGAGACTAAGGAAGCTCCTTACGTAAAACAAAATCACACACACACAGAGGGAACATTGTCCAGTGAACTGTGCCTAACTAATGATTGGAACTGGTCCTTAAGTTGCATAAGGCCCTGTTACCAGCTGATATTAAGATGCGTTTCTGTCAATCTGATCACAAATGGACGATGATAAATGCATGTGTGAATGGAGGCTGAAACACTTTGTAAACTATCAACCACATCCAGAGGTAGTCCAAACACATAAATGTAGACGCTCATGTGGACAAATGCAAATAAAAATCAGATAAAAACACCTCATCCTCAACCTACCATTATAGTTAGTGTTGTTAAAGTACACTAACCAGGCATGATTTCAGCTAGTAAGTTTGGTTTGAAGGTGTTGAAGAAAATATTAGACTTTTGGAATAACTTTAAGAACAAATGAAGGGAATGTATTTAATCATTTGAATGAAGCAAAATACGCTGTGTAAATGTAAATGTTTTGATTTGTTCCTTTTCCTGAGCAATTTTGTTCAGTTTCTGTGAAAAAAAGCCCTAAATTCTTTCATTCTGCACACCACTTCTAGTTTCTATAATGGTTTAAGTGCGCTTGAGCATATATAAATCAATAACAAACTGAGAAAACATCTTCATCAGTTTGAAAACACAAAAGTCACAAGCCCCGCTGCTTCTTATTTAGAGTAGGGTTGTCACGATACCAAAATTCAATACCAATCTGTACTGGAATTTTAAAAAACTGGAATTTTTCATTTTACTCAAACATTTGAGCGCTGTTGACCACTTTCTTAAACAGCGCTGATTTGCCATTGTGTTCACATGCTCAACAGAAATGACTGTTATTGGCCTTGAAGGCCATTGGTTTACCGAACTCACCACTGTTTACAGCGTGTAACCACAGATACAGGGACACTGGAGCGCTTTAAAGCAGCGATTCATCAACGGATCACTTGTATGTCAGCTTATAGACCAACCAGCTGATAGGCGCGACTATGAAATGCTCCAGTGTCTCTGTATCTGTGGTTACACGCAGTAAACAGCGATGAGTTTGGTAAACCTATGACCTTCATGGCCAATCACAGTCATTTCTGTTGAGCATGTGAACACAATGACAAATCAGCGCTGTTAAAGATTGTGCTTAACAGCTCTCAAATGTACGTGGAAAAAATGTATGTCAGTAAATTGCGATGAGTTCGGTGAACCAATGACCTTCACGGCCAATTACAGTCATTTCTGTTGAGCACTTGAATCAGAACGTGCTCAACAGTGCTCAAATGTTCGAGGAAAATGAACGTTTTTCAAATTCCAGTATCGTGACAATCCTACTTTAGGATGCAAAATTGTCAGAATTCTGAGTTTGTTTTGTTTATGTTAATGTCCTAATTGTATGATTTCTTGTTTGTTCCCCCCGACAAATTTCTGTTGTAGTCTGTGCTGTTTGCAGTGCGTTTCTGTATTTGTATGCCTTGTGAGAATTTACGTGCACATGTGTGTAGTCAAAGCGAAGATGTTTTCCTAATATTCATTCATTTTCTTTTCAGCTTAGTCTCTTTGTTTTCTTAATATGTTAGTGTTTTTCCTTATAAAAGGTTTTCTTAACTTGTAGTGCATTTCAGTATTTAGATGCGTTAAAATATTTGCGTGCATGTGTGTGAATTGAAGTGCATAACAATGTTTTTCTCAATTTGTTAGCATTTCTATTTGCAGTTTTTTTTATTTTTGTCTCTCAGCCACTGTAAGTTTTTTTTAAACACAGATTCACTTTTTGGCTGTAAATGCATGAATTTGAAGATAAGATTTTAAGCTTTGATCTACAACTACCAGTAGTTCTCCTACCAGTCGTGACTCTAACACAAACCCAACAGCTTTCTGCAGTTTTGTAGCAGAAACAAAAGCTGCTGTTCTTTGCTCTCATTTTCCACTGTCTGCTATTATATTTCATTTAGATGTGCGAGCTTATTGCAAAGTATTACACTGAAATCCACTAAAAAAATCAAGAAAGTGGTTCAAAGTGAACAAAACAGCTGGATTAAGCAGCAGGTATAACGGTGAATGTGTCTCCCTCGTCTACTTCTAATCAGATTGACCAAAATGCATCTTAACACCAGATGTAAACCAGTCCTTGTTCTGATCCCTCTTGTAAGAACAGAAAATGTTTTCTATAATAATAGAGAAACAATAAAGGTGCATTCAGCAATGGTACAAGTAAAAGTGACTTTTACAAAAGTGTGGCAAATATCATTCCAGGGGAGCAGCAGAAATGCACAGATTATTCAAGGCACAAGCAACCTGCACAATCTTATCAAAAGTGCTCACATTGGAAGTGCGGTCTACGACTGTAAAGGGGCTCTCCACTGGTCCAGTTAACATGGAATATCTCCTCTTAACAATGTCTATTACCTTTCCAACATGCATATGAGCAATCGCTTTATCTGATAGTGCTCCAACTGGCGAGAAATCTCCATCCAGTCCGCTCTGGCTATTTTCAAAGTAAGTGCTACTAGTGATTTTGAGTTCGGCTTTCCGAGCACCTACTAAGCCCCCAATGTCAAAGTCACGCTCTGCCAGAACAACATCACCAGGCAGGAGTTTACAGAGAAGGCCAGAACTCTCAACTAGACTCTTGTCGCTGACATGACCCGGAGATCCTCTGGAAACAAACGTGACTACACCCTGAGGAGCAACACCGATGACATATTTAAGCTCATTCACAGTGGACTGCACTGGTGTGGTCAATGCTGTAGATGCAACATCTTGATTTCCATCCACACTGAGAGCTCTTTCCAGAGACACCCTAAAGCAGTCAATGATCACCGCACAGTCTGGGTATGTGCAACACAATGCAGCTGGTAGATTTTTTCTGAGCTCTACTCTGGAGGGCCAAAAAACAGCAGTTGGCACAAGAGTGGTGAACATTATGTGAATAATCCGATGGACAGTCCTGGCCACTGTGGCAACCTTGACTCCAAAACGATAAGCCAAGTCTTGGTTTCTGAGATCCAGCTTGAGGCGCATTAGTGTCAAGAGAAGTTGCTGGAATTTGGAGAGTTTGACATTTTTGTCTCCTTTCATATGTGGAATGAGAAGCAACATGACCGTCTCGAACACAAAGTAGTTCGGCAATCCTGTGTAAAAGCGAACCTTCTCTGGATCATTCCTAAAGGAAGCCTCAGTGAGAGACATCTTATCTAGCGATTCCCTCAGCTCCATGTTTTCTTTCTTAAGAGCCTCGAGACTGGACTCATAGTCAGGGGGAATGTTTTTGACTGGTTGTCCTCTTTGGAGTACGCTTGTTTGTGAGATTTCTTCTTTTACAGCATCTTCAGTCTTAACATCCTCCTCGTCACAACTGCTCAGTGAAGAGGAAACACTCTCCGGCTCTTCTTGACTTGTCATCTGGCTATTTTCCTCCAAGAAACGCCCTTGTCCTTGCAAAAAGAGCAAAGCATTGGCGGCCTCCACTTGTGCCTCTTGTTTATCATACATTTCACAAGAACCTGCTTCTTTCATATTTGGGGAAAGTGGCGCTGAGGTGAAAACTGAAGGAACAAAATCAGGGGATCGAGGATTTTTCACTTGTTTTCCTGTAAATGGAAAAAAAAACATTGATGTATTTAAGAGTGCATTCATGTTCTTTAAAAAAAACTAATAATTTATATAAATTAAAATGTTATGGTTTATAAGACACTTAAAAACAATGTGCAAATTCACCAGGCAACTCAATTTATAAGCGTTTCTTTGTACAACTTCAGTGCATCAGACAGTTTTAAAACACAGTATAAATCAGTAACTGTCCAAATCAAGCACAGACAATTAGTCTTTGATGAAGTCTAAATATTAAAATACACAAATGCAAACTCTTACAAGCAACTATCGTCTGATACAGTATTTTTACACATTCATCTAGTGGTTATAATGTGTTATTACATATAATCTGTTTTCTCCCTCCAGATGGCACCAATGGCTTATTAATATATATATTTATACACAAACACACACATTATAATTATTATACTATAGGGCATATTAAATTGTGTTGTATCAAGAAATATAAAAGAAAAACAGCGCATTCATTTTTCACATGTTAATTTAGTGAGCAATACCATGCGTTTACCCCCCAAAAATAATAGCTTAGTCCACATTTGTATTGAACCCAAGCCCTAAAGTGCATTATAACAGTAAGAGTAATGTAGGCATCAGGCAGGGCTTCATCACCATTAAACACATTACTAGACATATTTACAACCATCACAGAGATTAGATTACTGCTAACCTACACATGCTATATGCACCACATAAGATGTTACCCTACCTGAAATGAAGTGTGTGCTGCAGAGTCTGCTGCCCTCGTTTGGCACCCACCCTTCACGATTCACAGCAGCGATCCAGCGCTGCTTCCGCTCCGGGTCGCGGGGAAACCTGTAAAAGGATAACGCGGTCCCTGGAGTTCTCCTGTTCCGACAACCGGCCACTACGCAAGTGTGCACCATATTAATGCCACCAAATTAGTGGACGTATTTGGTTTCCTGAACTAGTAATATTTACAATCTGACTCCCAAAATGGCGGTGGGGGAGAGTAGGCGACACGAGTGTGTCGTCATTTCACTAGTCGTAACCGGTCGGTCGTGATTGGTTCTCGCTGTCTTGGCTATGATGATATCATCTCACCGCGCCGCGATCGAGCGTTTACTGGCGTCGTGAACAGCGACTCATCGTTTATTCTTTCAACAAATAAGATAAAAATGGCTGTGGAATCGAGGGTCACACAGGAGGAGATCAAAAAAGAGCCAACAAAGCCAGTGGACAGAGAAAAGGTTTGTTTTCAGTTACTTCTGTTCGTCAGTGGCGCGAATATTCGTGCACAAACGAGGCGTCCTGCATGCTAAGCTAATTTGTAAATCTAACGCTAACTAAAAATGTAGGTACACAGAAACATTACAAAATATCTAATTGCAACGTTATACTACAAATCGTATCTTAAACCGTGTGCATTCCTTTTAGACATTTGGCCTTTTTGTTTTATTTTGTACTCATTTTATCTGTTAATGTAGCATAGCGTACATTCTGGCAAATAAAAAGTTGCTTTTATTAAGCTTTTAATATATTTTACCCATTTTCTTATCAAGATTCTGTTTTGGACTGGTAAAAAAACGTCGACTAATATTTAACCATCCCAGTGCCATTTAAGTAAAAAGTCACATACTCTTTGTTAACAGGCTTCCATTTAAAAACGCAATTATATAAAAAATGTTTAACATTGTATTTTTGGCACATTTCTTCAGTTTTGTTTTGGAGTAAAATTGAGCATGTTTTCATTTCAGGCCAAATGAACTAAAGTAATACAAATGTTGTTCTGATCGTCGACTTAAAGACAAATAACCTCTAAAAATCTGCACAGAAAAGTATATTTCTCATAAATCAATTTAGTGTTAAAACTACTTTTGTAGTTATTATCAGAATTGATGTTAGTTAAGAAATGAGATTACATCTGCACCAGTGGTTAGTGCGTCAACACATGCACTTCGGTGACCCGAGTTTGATTCCTGCCTAACGATCCTGTGCCAACTGTTTAATAACCATTATATTGGATGCACAGACACATCTGCATGTCTGATTGTTTTAAAAGACATTGTTATTAATACTTTCTACATGTGTTTGTTGTGCTCGTTGTGCAGACATGCCCACTTCTCCTGAGAGTGTTCACCACCAACAATGGAAGGCACCATCGCATGGATGAGTTTGCCCGGGGGAACGTGCCCTCTAGTGAACTTCAGATTTACACCTGGTAAGTATTATTATAAAACAGCCACTGCATCAATGATCAACTGAACCATACAATCCTGATTTGTATATGCCTTGGCTGCAGGATGGATGCTACTCTAAAAGAACTGACAAGCCTGGTGAAGGAAGTCTATCCGGAAGCTCGGAAGAAAGGCACACATTTTGGATTCGCCATTGTTTACCCAGACCCCAAACGACAAATCTACCGGTAATGAATACAGAGTTCTTAATACTCTGTTAAGATTTGTTATGGATATTTTATAACTCCACTGGCTTTATTGCAGGGTTAAAGAAATTGGCAACACAGTTTCTGGGCGCAAAGGTGCAGATGACTCGATGACGCTTCAGTCTCAAAGCTTTCAGATCGGAGATTATCTTGACATTGCCATCACTCCGCCTAACCGCGCACCGCCTCTCCAAGGACGCATGAGGCCCTACTGACCTGAAACAACACTTGACTGCATTTAAATGAAAGGGGTGAAGTCTGTCTTCCTGCAGAGTTTAGTTCAGCCCTTGTCTGAGCTTTTCAGGTGAACTGCAAGACTTTGATTTGATCGAGTGTTTATGTCAGAACTAAACTCTGCAGGAAGGTTCATGCAGAATAGCAGCATGATTGAGCTGATAATCTCGATTTGGAAGTAAAAAGGAAAGTCTTTTCATATATTATGTTCTTTGTGGAGTTTTATATCAGATCTACCTTTTTAGTTCTAGTCCTGTTAGCGTAATTCAAATCATTCATGAATAAATGTTTTTTTTTCAGTATCTTGTCTAAAGTCATATCATTTATAAACCTTTTTTTTAGTTAAATGAAGTATTCATTGTTTAAATAAATATTTCAATTTAGCAAGTAGATCTCAGAATGAATGCACTAATGATTAAGCTTTAGTAACTTTATAGTTGTCTCTAACTACTTTGTACTTTTTCCATGTAGTGCAGAATATGAAGATGTACAAGTTGGTACATTGTAAGTACACTTACAATTTAAAAGTATAGTATTCGCACAGTAAACTTTACCCCAACCCTACTATTGAACCATACCTCACATTCAGTAGCAGAAAATGTGGGAAATTTCCAAAATAACATGTAGCTATAAAGTAACCATTTGGCCTTGTTGGCATTTGTATGTTCGTTTATTGTAGTTAGGTTAAACTGCAAAAGCATTTTGTCCATCTGGCTTTATCTACTGTAACTCGGTGGTGTCCAGAGTCAGTCCTGGAGCGCCAATGTCTTGCAAAGTTTAGCCTTAACCCTAATCAAACAAACCTGAACCAGCTAATCTAGTGCTTACTAGATGACCTGGAAACTTCATGGCAGGCGTGTTGAAGCAAGTTGGAGCTAAACTCAGCCGGAAACCGGCCCACCAGGACTAAGTTTGGACACCCCTGATCTAACTAGTCATAAAGGGATAGTTAACACAAAACTGAAAATACTGTCATTTACTTTTCACAAACATGTTTTAGTTTCTTAGTTTTTGTTGAACACCAAAGAAGATAATTTGAGGAAAGGTGGAAACCTTTGACCATTGACTTCCAAAGTATTTGTTTTTCTTACTATGGAAGTCAAGGGTTACGGTTTCTAAACATTCTTCAAAATATCTTCCTTGTATTCAACAGAAAAAAAACTAGAGCTCTGGAAACACCTGGTGGTGGGTGAATGTTAATTTTTGGGTGAGCTACAGTGTCTTTATTATATAGTGTACCTAGCATTTTTAAATGGCATTTAAATCCAAGACCAAAACAAATAAATTACATGAACATATTCCCAATAAAAAGATGAGCAAAGGTTTGCTACATTCACTAGTAATGCTGGCATTTGTAGCAAGGATTGTTATAATTGTACTTAAGCTTTTTAAAATTATTTATTAAGTTTTTTTCAAGTCGTAATAAAAGTGTTTGTAATTATAAAAAAGTCAGTAGAGCCTTTGTGTTACGGCTTCAAACTGCTGTTCTCCTCCTGATGCCACTTTTTTGAAAGCCAGGCTTTGAGTGCTGCCGCACAGATCCAGTGGTAAGTGCTTAATACTTGCACTGAGCCACAAGCTGAAAGAGAGAGAGGACATTTATCAGCACATCTGAAACATAACCATTTCAGAATTACAAGGTTTAAGTGACTCACTTTTAAGATATCCTGAGTGACAGAGCTCATATCAGGCATCTCTGGTGTGCAGGGCTCTGCTGGGAACTTCACTCTGACTTTCGGAGTCGAAAGGCACCAGTCCTGGTTGAATCCATCTTCAGGCACTGGGACAGAGGTCTGTTTCATTTCTAACATATGACCTGCTCCTGTTTTCATACCTGAGAGACTTTCACCAGATGTATTTTTCTAGATGAAGAAAGTTCAGACATCATTCGCATCTCAAGAAATGAAAGTCTAGTATTCATTAAGTTTGGAATCAAATCTAAGGTATACCATTTTTGAAAAAGAATAAATGAAACACGATTGCTTACAAAAGCTAGAGAACTTCCAAAATTAGACTGTAGGATCGGCATCTCAGGCAATGCTTCCTCTTCATAACGTAACATTTTTGGCATCTCAGGAGCATCATTCCAAGACGTCCCATTGGTGGTTGAAAGATCTGGTAGACGCAAACTGTTCTCCTGTGATTCAGAGTGCCTCTTGCTTTCCTCCTCTCTGTCCTCCTGTGAAATGGTAATTACAGAGAGTGAGTAAAACCACATAATTTTTTATTGGTAACGTCATGGCTTAACGTAAAGATGTTTAGTGGCAGATTTACATGCCAGTGATAAAAGTGTCGAGTTAAAGAGCACATCACACCTTTTTTATTAGCTTGCTGACAAAAGGGGTTTCAAATGCAGGGAGTTCTGGGGTGGAAGGACAGTTATTATTGAGGCGAGGAGGAGAATTGAGATCATTCTTTCCATTGAATAGTGGAGTAGATGGGACGTGGTTTTTCGCAATCTTAAATCCTGGGGTGCAAAACTCTGGAGGCTCCGGGGATTCGAGACTTTCTGAAATATAATAAAACACAAATGTGCTAATCAAAAAACCTGAAGAGAGATAAAAGCTAAGTATCTGTAACCAGGCTTCTAAAGCTGCAGGGATTAAATATAACACTTTACACAAACAGAGTAAACAATACCAACTACTACTAATAATAATAATAATAATAATATGAAGAAGAAAACAACAACAGTTAAAATTACTTACTGTTAGCAACGTCTTTGTTCAGCACAGATGATGTATTGGAGAATACGTTATGGGGTTTCTGAACATTTTCATTTCTTTCGCTGTAAAACACACAAGAACAGTACCACATCTACTTTTATCTTTAGGGTTTGAACAAATTATTTCTCCATTGTTTTCTCAAGTGGTTAGTTTAATATTGATTCTCTTTTTATATAATTTATTCCATATTATGACTACATGTGGCATGTATTTCAAATAGAAAGGTGGGTTGTTTATTAAGCACCCATGTGTACTTGAAATAAAAAAATGCTCACTGATCTTTTTTAAAGAAATATTTAACTCAATCAGCAATAAATTTAATCTTAAGTCACAGTAAAGATCTGCATAATGCTACAAGAACTTCTTACAATAAATCCATTTGTTTTGTCAACTTTTCATAAAAGAATCCTGAAAAAAAGGATACAAATAAACGTTTCCTGAGTACCTAATTATATTTAAATGATTTCCGAAGGATCAAGACACTCTGAAGACTCAAATAACGCTCAAAATATCACTTTACCATCAAATAAAATAAATCTGAAAATGCTCAAAACGGTTCACAATGCCACTATCTTTACTGTATTTCTAATCAAATAAATAAATGATTGAAGAACATAAGATTAGGACTGTCACCATAATCAATAAATCGACTTCTCGAACAACACATGGACATGACCCCAATCATTTTTGGGGATGCAATATATATATATATATATATATATATATATATATATATATATATATATATATATATATATATATATATATATATATATATATATCTATCTCGCTCACATTTAAAAAAACAATCCTAGCAGCATTTTGGCTGATTGTGCAACATCTTTATCTCTATTATAGGTGTCAGTGTCAGTATGGTTATAAAACGTTATTTATAAACGGCTAAAAAATCGTATTTACTATAAATTGCTTTAGTATATTTTCATGTGGGTGTCTGACAATGGAGAAGAGATCTGGTAGCAGATATCACAGCTTCAGTTTCTTTTTATCTTTTTACTCTTTTTTTGTTAATATTTATTATTACTTATTTAGGATATGCGTTTTCACATTCGGATTCCAATGCCTCATTATTAAATTGTTAAAATGACTGTAATTGAATGAAATATACTTAAGAATAAAATATTATGTGTCCTTTAGAAGAGTGTACATGCATTATGATGCTATTATATTGATATTCTGGCATTATATAATGAGTGGCTTAAAATTACAATAATATTGTTTATCGCAATGTATTTTGATGCAATATATCTTACTAACAATAAATAGATATCATGACAGTACATAAGATACTTCAATGCAGAGATCTGTTAATTATCAACAGTCATTTACTTTCCACCATTAAAGTAGTCAGTATACCCAGTTATATTACACAATGGTAGCATTAGATCTACCCATAAAGCTGTTTTTTAATTTAAAAACGCAAAGAATCTTTTTAAATTGGCAAATGTGTTGTTTTCTGAAGCAAAACACACATTCTGTGGTGTAATATTAACAACTTGAAGGTAGGGAGCAGCATACCTGCTGTTCTTTGGTGGCTTCTTGTTGAACAAATCCATGGTGAAATCATTGTTCCAGCACATGGTGTACTCAGAGATGCCAAAGTCCTCCAGTCGTGGGGTCAGAGCGTCCTCCTCCATACTCAGCGAGCACTTGGGTGTCTTTGGCTGAGGAGGCTGCAGGTTCATGAGGATTGGTGGAGATGACAGAGCGATGGCAGACTCAGGAGCAGCACTCAGTGGGACCTCTGCTTCACCAAGCACTCTCTGAAACTGGAGTGCAGACAGGCCAAAATCTGACAGCTTTGGTGTCTGCAGCTGGTCAACAGGTGGAGGCATCTTCTCAGGGGTCACTGACTGATCAACCTTGTCACAATCTCCACGTTCCGTCTCTTCATCTTCCTCTTCTGCATCTGGCTTTTCTGCATCTCTCTTTGCACGCTCCTCTGCTTCTTTTGTACCATTCACCTCTACAATAGAAAGTTTTCACAGAAGTTAACACAAATTGCAGAAACGCCTATACTCAAAACAAACTAGAAAGTTAAAGATAAATGATATAGTGTATGCTCTGATAGGATATTCCCCCTGATTAAAATGATAAAAAACTAATATCTGAATAAACAAATTTTAGATTTGAACTTTCATGTTATAAAAAATCTTTAATTAAATAAGATCAGCTGATTTTTTTCTGTGTGAAAAAAAATACTGACTGTATTTAAAAATGTTATATATAGACCTGAAAAAACTGAAATTTGCACTTTATTTCATCTATTTATTTATTTTTTATTCTGTATTATCTACAACGTGCAAATAACATATTCTTTAAAAAGAGACTAAATTTAAGTTTGTGCTCCATATCATTCAGGAAATATGAGGTTTATGTTTTCTGGATTGTATAGAAAGTGGTCTTCAGGTCATACATTTATTATAACTACTGCATAAGTTACAATTATTATTTAGTGGTATAAAATACAAATAAAACATTTTAAATAAGAAATACAAGCAGATGAATTTCATTGAAACTGAACAAAAATTATACCATGGACTAACATTCAACAGGTCAACATATACACTTTTAAAGGTTTCAGCTTAATAGGTCATTTATTTATTCTATCCACTTCATGCAAAAACGATTACAAAATTAAACGACTTAAATGCTTTCAATCAATAAACTACAGTTTTGTTTGTAAAGTGATCCATCAGCATCTCTAATAAAAAACTGTATAATGGGGTCAGATGTCTGTCTTCAAATCTATGCCAGAAAGGATCAATGTTTATCCTTTTCTCATTACTTTATTAATATGATTATTTAAATTCGTATTTAATCCAGAAATGATTTTGACTAAAGAACAAAAAAAAATACACATTGCTTAATACAAGAATGTTCAGTGCATTTGCCCCTCTCTGTTTGTAACTTTATTTTCAGGAGACAGCAAACCAGGTCAGAGGTCATAGATACCTCTTGAGGGGAATTGAGGGGCTTGATGATTGAAAACAATTGTTTTCCTGTTTGTATTGCGTAAATAGTGTCTAAAATAATTTTGATAAATTTATTATTTTGTGTTAATTGTTTAAAGTTACTTTGTAGTGAGAATATAGCAGTCTGATTGTAGATTATACTGTTTTTTAACCAGTTTTGATAAAGACGGCTGAGAGTACTCTTAGCCTTGGGTAAGGAACAGATTGTATTTTGGATATGTGTTCTATTTGATTGTGGATCCGATTACAGGTCTGGGGTCAGCTCTAAACATTCTAGGGGATGTCTGACGTTTGTATGCTTGAGATATTGAGATTTCGTTCAGAGTTGTACACACGCACCCATCTGGAACTTTTTTAAGTCTTTCTGTGTTTTAACCAATCACCTATATGTATGATGCAGATAATGGCGTTATGTAATAGTATAATTGTTGTTGATTTGTGATTGTAAGCAGAGCAGCCGACGAAGTTAGATGAGTGTTAAAAATGGCTTATGCTAATAAAACTGCAAAGTATCTTCAGTAAACTTTATTTATTTGAATCTCTGACTCAGGCTCTTCTTCATCTGACAGACTGCTCGTTGTTGGGTTAAAACTGTAATAATCCCTACATAAAAATCTAAACAGATTGGCTAAACATTTACCTGCACTTCCCAGTCTTGATATCCGTGGCCTGTAACCATATTTCTCATAGTGTTTCTTCAGACTGTCAATGTCTTCTGTGGTTCTCTGCTTCAGCACCAAACATCTTCTGATGAAGCTCCTCAGGTCAGCACTGCTTGTATCATGGGTAGCCACCTGATCCCTAACTTGCCTCTGCAAATGATTTAGTGCAAGATATATGTAGTACAAACATTAAAGCAAACTGAAATTACAGAACATCATAACTGAATGTAGATATACCTTTAGTGCTCTGACTTCAGAGTGCAGCTGATAAAGTGCTTGAGCTCCAGTCTCTTCATCCTCTAAACAAGACCAAATACAGCCTGTGATTTTATGAATGACCATGAACCATTTTTTATGTAATCATTTATATATTTACCCTCGTCCTCTTTGAGGTTCTGGCTTGTATGCAAGAGGCTACTGCTTTCAGTCTCCAGATACACGGTGAGCTTTCGCAGCTTCGAGAAAAATCGCTCTGACGGATTCATGCTTAATGGTACAGGCTGAAATAGCAGTTAGAAATTATAATAAGAGTATAATAAATAATAGGTAGAAATATTAGTTAAATAACACGATTATAATATGAGTAATAGTAACAATGTACGACTTTGGTGGTCTTTCCATAAATAATTAACTGTAAATAATAATAATAATGCTTATAGGAATATCAATTAAAATTAGAATAAAATATTGTCAAATACCACGGTTAAGTTATATAAATAACTTAATGTACGAGCTAAACATTGATGGTCTTTTCATAAACTATCAAAGTGTTTTGCTGTTCGGTTAACGTTAGCTGACATGGAAAGGGCACAATAACAAAACACAAGCAAGGCGGCTAACGTTACCGTATTGGCCTTATTTAGTTCACAAACACACAGGAAAAGATAATACCTCATATTGACGTTACCTCATCACAAACATTTAAATAAACACCGCTGAGCTCTTGTTTGAAATTTCGCGGTCCATCCGGGTTAGTTTTTTTCTAACTCGTTTGCACGTCTGAAACGATCTAAACACTAAGAGGCTCGTTACCGCCCCCTATTCATGGATAACACTCCTGCTTAAGCGAGTATAAATTCAGATGTTCAAAGAATCAACTATCGTTGAAGTACACAAGTTTTATTAGACCACTTGTTTTCTATCCTTATGCTGCCATTCACCACATCATCTCTGAGGTACCTCCATCTTAAAAAGTAGGCAACTGTTCTGCTTTATGAAAAACGACCTTATTTATCCTGTGGGAAATAGTATTATTATAATTAGCAATAATTTTATTCACATTTTTAAAAAGCTTTCTTCTTTGATCATGTGTATTTGTCTTCTTATTTGTGTATATAATTTTATTAAAGTATTCATGATAGTTATTTAAAATAAAAGCCTGTTTATTTTTCCTACTTTTTTTCGAGATATTTAAACTGACCATCAGGAGTCCCCCCTTGAAGGTCTTTTGACCCCAGTTTTAAAACCTAATATTTGACAGATTCAGAAACCAGTTAGAGAAGAGAAGAAATGCAGAGGAGATTTGAGTATACAGAAAAATATATCCTAAAGGGAGTCCACAAAAAAAAAGAAAATTCTGTCGTTTAATCATTCACTTATCTCAAACCTGCTTGAATTATTTTTTCTGTTGAACACAAAAGAAGATGTTTTGAAAAATGCTTAAAAACCTGTAACCATTGGCTTCCAGAGTATTTCTTCCAATGGAAGTCAATTGCCCCTTTCACACAGAGATACCAGGAAATTAACAGAACATTTCTGGAACGACTTTACCGGTAATTTTTTTAATTGCTGTTCAGCCAGGCAAGGACGTTCTGGAATTTTTCTGGAAAAGAGCATTCACACATCTATTTCAAAATACCGGTACTTGTGAGATCATTAACCAGAAATGAGCTTTAAACAGCTGTGCTTGTATTTGTAAACATTTGACTACATTACAAACTCTGTGTATGGTTAATTATTTGTGAACAAATTTGATGAAAATGTATAGAGAAACACTTTCGAGTGTCGAGATGTACATAATATGTGTGTGCTGGCGCTTACCGGCTGCTTCACGTGCACACGCGTCAAGTAACTGAAGGAAATATATATAATATATATAATGTATATAATTATTTATACAGTTGGCATTAAGAAGGAACATAGAAACAATATCTGACTAACATCTAACAGCTAAATGTATCTGGAAAATATTCAGAGGCTTTTATCTTTATAAACAGCGCAGATGTGAATGCGTCTGAATCTTCTGATGGACTGGAGATGTCTCACATCAGCGCGTTCTTCGCGCTTTTTCCGGCAATCTTCCTTCTGCGTTCACACAGCGCAGCATTCTGGAAAATTACTGGTATTTTCAAAAAAGGCCTGTTCACACATACAGACCTTTCCGGAAAATTGCTGGTAATTTTCTGGAAAGATTTTTATGTGTGAAAGGGGCTAATGGTTACAGGTTTCAATTATTTTTCAAACTAACTTATTTTGTTTTACAGGAAAACAAAACTCAAAAAGTTTGGGGACCACTTGACAGCAAGTAAATATTGAAAAAAAATTGTCTGGTCAGAAAAACAGCTTATAAATCATACTACATTTCATTGTTTCTGAGTTAGTTAAGTTAATTTATGTTAAAATGCAAAAGATTTCTGTGAGCATCAGAGTTAGTGCAAATACAGTTTGTCAGTACAATATAAAATCAATAAAAAACAGAGTGTGGTGAATGTTTTAGAAAGTGGCAATGTGAGGAAACACCAAGGCTGAAACTCCTTCAAAAAGACAGAGGGAGCACACAGTTGTAGTGTGACTGAATAATAGTGCCTATTTCATTTTCAAGTGTGATTAATGAATCTCTGTGTTACTAAAGACAACATTGGCCCACAGATCAAACAAATTCCCACAGGTTTCAGTTAATCAATTGCTATAACTGATTTCAATACTGATAACTCTACAAATAACTCTACAGATAATTTCTATGATTTATTAGAATATATTACTGTGTGATCAACAACTCACTCCTTGGCTCCTTTAACCATTTCATTTTAAAATTGACATTAATATTTCAGAAAGGCTATGCTGCCTACATTCTCATGAATACAATAGTAATGGCGAGATATCTGCCCAGTACTTTCATGCTTTGTCTAAAATCTGGACTTTTCATTGTTGAGCGGTACATGACTCCTTTTTATTTACTTTTCCCGTTCCTTGTGAATTAAATTAATTAATGAAACCATCTGTCGATTCATGAAATTATAAAGGTCAGGTTAAGTACTGAACTTCTGCAACTATGGAAAATGTATTTAGAACATTTTAATGTGGACAAATTCACAAATGGGTCCAGATCATGATTTAAAAAAGGATTTATTTTCTTTAATGCATGATTTACATGTTATTGACAGACAAAAGACAAGGTTCTGGTATCTTTCAGCTTAGAAACACTATTTGATCTCTATATTTCCATGTATAGGAGTAACATTTCAACATTTTTCCGACTATAGGGAAACTTTTACAGCTAAATATAGTTATACATAATAATAGGTACTAAAAATATATAATAAAAATAAAGAAGAACTGTATATTCTGAACTGACAGGAATAAAAACATAATGCAATCTTCACAAAAATAAATGTTTTCAAAATCAAACAAACAAAAAGTGAACAAAATAGTGCAATGATCTTTTCTTGCTTATTCACAAAATTTTTTATTTTGTATTTTTAAATCAGGGCTTTTTGAAACATCCAGCCTTTATAAAAGAGCTTGTCTAGTTTTGGACCATTTGATAAAACTTTCGGCAAATAAACATTTTTTATTTATTTTTTTGTAAAATATAGTAGGTTATTTCCAGGCCCTGACAAAATGTTTTTTCTGCACTCATTATTCTCTTTTAATTAGAAAGATTCATCCAAAATGATTATTCCCTCAAACATAAATAAATTAAGAAATAACGGACATTCTAATATTTAAAAGTTTACAAACAGGAACAGTCATTCATTTTATTTTGTGCATTTGACTTTGTTACTTTTTTATTTATTTTTTTTATTCTAAGATATTTAAACTATGAGTCCATCTAAAACAAGAACCCATTAAGATAAAATAAAACAGGGAAATGAAGAATACAAAATGAGGAAGATCCTACTAGAGAAACTAGAGAGCAAGAAGCAGAGATCATAAATACATGAGTAAATTTGAGACAGGCTTCTCTAAACTGTGATGTTGCTTCCTCCTTTGGGCATTAGAAAGTATCACAGCAGTAGAAGGAGATGAAGGAAGACTTGGACAAGGAAGACCAAACCATCTAAAATCCCATTCCAATGGGGTTGTTTGATGCCCATATTTATTCATCCATCCATTTTCCAATCTGCTTGTCTGATGTAGGGCGGTAGCGATGTTAATGCCCTTCTTCGCCAGATATCATAGCATAGCTCAGTCTGAAAAATCACGTGAAGTAGGAGTGACCATCTATAGAGATAAAATATTTATGCAAAACAGTAATAATAATAATAATAATAATAATAATAACAACACATCAAACACAGTATTACAAACTAAACATTACATAGTGGTTTATAAGTTCCCAGTATACATTGCAGCATAAATGATTTGGTTACTGTAAGACAGGCATGAGACGATAACCGATTTTAAGGCATACCGCTGAATTTAGTTTTTTAGTACAACAGTATCTCCAGCAGAAAAGATATACAAAGATGCTATTTTAAATTGTAAAGAAATCTGTGTTTTTGAAACAAATGGAACACAGCAGAAGTCAATGATTCATTTGAATTATTTGATTGTCTTCAAAGAGGAAAAAAGTTTTTGTTTTTTGCCCAGACATTTAAAAAGAATATATTTTAGAGCAGTAATCACAATAACGTGAAAGCGTGATAGGTTATCATACCATCAGAATCTTATATCGGCCCATGCCTACAGTAAGATTACTTTTTATATAAACTTTTATTGTTGTTTTGTCATTATTGGATATTTGTTGAGTTGTGATGCTAATCATTTACATGTGTAGATAGTAGCTGTTCTAAACCCTTTAACAGACATCGTAACCACCTGGTTGACCTTTTATCCATATTTTATCATTATCAAAGGTTTATCTAAATATTTATCAGAGTTGTGTCAGTATATTTTTTAATCCAAGATGTGGGCGTAAAACAAAATTCAAGTGGTGCATGTTAAAGGGTTAAGGCATTGTTTACCCAAAAATACAATTTCTGTCATCGTCACTTGTTCCAAAACAGTTTGAGTTTCTTTCTTTTGATGAAGACAAAGCAAGATATTTTTAAGAATGATGGAAAAAACAGCCATTGGCTTCTGTTGTATTTTTTGTTCCTAATAAGAATGTAATCTCCCCAACATTCTTCAGAATATGTTTTTTTGTATTCAACACAAGAAAGAAATTAATAAAAGTTTAAAACTACAATAATTAAATGTGAGGAAACTATCCCTTCAAGATTTGTGTGTCAAGTTTGTTCAGCAAATTTTGAATAGCATTTTCAACAAAGTTTAAACCTACCTTCTGAATTTCTTTGAAGAATAAATGATTGTTGTTTTACAAACAAAACTCTTATAGTTAACATATTTTATGAGTGCTATAAGGTACACTGCTTATACATGGCTACCCATGTTTGTTGAACAAGAAATCTTTTGTTGCCTTGACAAATATGTTGGAATTGTCATTTAGAACAAGAAAGTGCTAAAAATTTCTTAATACAATTATTAAGACAACAGTTGTGTAAAGTAAAATGCATCATGTAACTTTTGATGTTTTTATTTTCTTAATTTATTAATTACATTCATTCATTCATTTTCTTTTTGGCTTAGTCCCTTTATTTATCCGGGGTCGCCACAGCGGAATGAACCGCCAACTTATCCAGCACGTTTTTACACAGCGGATGCCCTTCCAGCCGCAATCCATCTCTGGGAAATTGTTAATTACAGTGTACTTAAAATATTACTTTATGTGTCTAATAAGACACATAAAATAAAACTATCTCATAAAAATGTTCTTAATTTTAAAAGTTTTTTAACAAAATATATTTTATTCAGTAAGACTGCATTTAGTTGATCAAATGAAACAGCAAAACATTAATCAGAGGTAAAGTCAGTAAAGACATTAATCAGAGTTAAATTCTGTTGATTTGAACGTTCTTTTAATCAAATAAAACTTAAAAATACAACCCCATTTCCACTACAATCGTAAGCAGCACTGCGGTCTTTAACTTTAATAATTGTACTAAATGTTTATATTTTAAGGAAAGCATATTATTGAAGAAAGCAGCATAATGATTTCTGAAGGATTATGTAAAACTAAAGTCTCGAGTACTTCTTGAAACTACATTTTGGTCAATCAAATGCAGTCTTAGAGAACAAGAGAGACTCCTCCAGGATTCAAATATTTAGATAATCAACTGTTAGATCAACCAAATGTACTGTATGACAGCAGTAAACTTACTTTCTCATCATAACAAAAGGTCTTTTTTCTGTTGAGATTTCTCCAGGTCCCTCTTGATGTCTGGATAGTCCTCCAAAACTTTATAAAAACTGTCCACCGACAAGGAAAAGAGCTGACAGGTGGTCTGAGCTTGTACTGTGGCCAAACGCCTTCCTCTTCTTAGGAGACATGAGTCTGCAAAAGACAAGGAAAGATCATTTCTAAAACAACTTGTCTGTGAGTACTAAGCATACAAAGGCTTGACTAAATCAGACCTCCGAAGTAATCTCCGTCGCTCAGTTCCCTCTGGTAAAACTCGTTCTCCTCTAGGACCTGTCCATGCTCGATGAAGAACATCCGCTCTCCAGCGGTGTCCTCTCGGATGATGATGTCTCCCTCCTGGTAAACCTCGTATTGCAGCTCCACAAGAAGCCCGTTGATGAAGTTTATATCACAGTTACGCAAAATGGGGATTTTCCTCACAAGGGCCGAACACATGGTTATCAGAATTTCCTAAAAACAAACATTTAAAACAATCAATTAATAAGTTTACTCTTATAACATTTAAAACCATCATAATTATTTTGGTTCAGGAGTGACCCAATAGAGAAACAAAAATGTCTATTATGTCTGTATTTTTCCATATAATTAAATGCTTTAAATGAGTCTCAAAATACATTTATGTTTACAATTTCTTTATTTATGCATTCATTTATATATTAAATTATTAAATTATGATACTGTTATAAAATTATTCTTCTGGAATGTGAAAACTGAATCAGATTTTAAATCCACAAAATGTGTCAAATAATCTTTTGTGCAGCTATCTAATATTTCCAATAGTGAGCAGCACCTCTCTGAGAGACGAGGACACCCACTTTAAGACGTCTTTCTCATCGTACCATTTCCCTGCATAACGAGACTGATAATAGTTGTTGATACGCATACGAAGGGCTTTGGGAAGCTTCATGAAGGTCATATAATCTTCCAGGTGATTCATCTATGCAACAAAAAAAGCCGATAAGAGAAAGGTAAAGAGAAAAAAATTATGATATTTCAGCAGAGTGTCTGTGTTTTTTTGCACCTTGTTCTTGTAGGCTCTTGCTGTTAAATCCACATCAGTCATCATTGCAGCGGTGTTTGCTACCATCACCGTATACATGAGGGCTCCAGACATAATGCTGGTCATGACAATCCACAGCTCAACATCATCTTTAAAAACAAACAAACACTAAGCATTAAATAAGTATCCAATGTGCTCCGTTATTTTAGTGTAAAACATATTGCTGAATCGGCTGATAAAAAGTATACTCCTTGCTTGTAGGTGTTTCAGAAGAACCGTATGATATTGCAGTCATATGAGAGAGCGCCCGAAAAACTCCAAAAGAGTACTTCTCTCCCACTGAGGCATTCTGACAAAAGACACAATTTAAAGTGTTGATTTTAATGCATTATTTTTATACAGTACAACCTCAGCTCTAAAATATCACATATTAGTTTGGCTGTCTGTAATACTGATTGGAATTTTTAAGTTCACTCTATTCCACAAATGATTTTTTAATAATGGAAAATGTTTTGAGGAACCCAAAATGGTTGTTTTATATCACAGCTACAAAAACACCTTTCTAAACCTTTACTTTAAAAATAGTATCAGTGCGGAATCACTATGTGCCCTGAAAATAAATAAAAGTATGTCACTATTTCACAGAGAATAGTTAAAATTATCTGAAGTTTGACAATAATGTACATGAAAGATAATAAACCAATATTTCATATGATACACTCATGTTTGATGAGTAGCCCTATGTACTCCATATCAGTGATGGGCAGGTCAATTGGCAAGTCTAGTGACAAGTTTAGTGACCAGTCCAGAAGTACACCTGTGGCAGGTCAAGTGGCAGGTTAATTGGCAGGTCTTGTGGAATGTCCACATAAGTGACAGGTCCAGTGACAGATCGAGTAACAGGTTGAGAGGCTGGTCCAGTGCCAGGTTGAGTGGAGGGTTAGTGACAGTTTGAGTGGCAGGTCTAGTCGCTGATTAGGTAGTGGCAGGTCTAGTTTTATGTGCGGGTTTAGAGGTATGTGCATGAAAGTCACATGTCCAGTGGCAGGTTGAGTTCAAGGTCAAGTAGTAAGTTGAGGGGCAGTTCTAGTGGCAGGACCAGTGGCAGGTCTAGTGTCAGATCAAGTGGCAGGTCAAGTGGCAAGTGCATATAAGTAAGAGGTTGATTGAAAGGTTGAATAGCAGGTTTAGTGTTATATAAAATAAGTGACAGGTCCAGTGGCAGGTCTAGTGTTATGTGCATATAAGTGACAGGTCCAGTGGCAGGTCTAGTGGCATGTGCAGTGTGCCTTAAAATCCATTATGACTATATTTGTCTATCTTGCAACCTGGCTAAAAAAACAGTTCATGTGAAAAAAAGAAACATTTCTATGGCAGCTGCATGTCAGTGATCAGTCCAGTGGCAGGAGAATATACCAGAGAAGGTTTCTTTAGAGAATGTATGCCAGAGACAGTGCAGTGGAATATATATTTTGGTTAAACCAGAGACAGTTCCAGTAGCAGCATAGTATAGAGACAGGTCTAGTTACAGGTGGAAGGTTGAGAGGAGGGTCAATTGGAAGGTCTAAAGGCAGATCAAGAGGTAGGTGGCTGGTCAAGTGGAAGATCTAGTGGCAGGCTTAGTGGCAGATCAATTGGTAGGTGGCAGTTAAGTGCAAGGTCTAGTGGCTGGTAGAAGGTCTAGTGGCAGGTCTAGTGGCAGATCATTTGGTAGGTGGCAGGTCAAGTGGAAGGTCTAGTGGCTGGTAGAACATCTAGTGGCAGGTCAAGTGGCAGGTCAAGTGGAAGGTCTAGTGGCTGGTGGAAGATCTAGTGGTCGGTCTAGCGAGTCTAATGGCAGGTCAAGTAGTAGATTTAAGGTATAGCGGGTCTAATTGCAGATCAAGTGGCAGTTCTAGTGGCAGGTCTAGTGGAAGTTCTAGTTGCAAGTAGAGGATCTAGTGGCAGGTTTAGCGGGTCCAGTGGCAGGTGAATATAGCAGAGACGGTATCTTTAAAAGAATGTATGCTAGAGACAGTCCAGTGGAATATATGTTTGGTTATACCAGAGACAGTTACACTAGTAGAACAGTATAGCAACAGGTCTGGTTGCAGGTGGAAGGTTGAGAGGCACGTCAAATGACAGGTCTAAAGGCAGACCAAGTAGTAGGTGACAGGTCAAGTGGAAGATCTAGTGGCAGGCTTAGTGGCAGATCAATTGGTAGGTGGCAGATCAAGTGAAAGGTCTAGTGGCTGGTAGAAGGTCTAGTGGCAGGTCTAATGGCAGATCATTAGGTAGGTGGAAGGTCAAGTGGAAGGTCTAGTGGCTGGTAGAAGATCTAGTGGCAGGTCTAATGGCAGGTATAGTGGCAGGTCAAGTGGCAGGTCAAGTAGAAGGTCTAGTGGAAGGTCAAGTGGAATGTCTAGGTGCTGGAAGAAAATCAAGGTCAAGTGACAGATCTAGTGACAAGTTTAGTGGCAGGTAAAATATCTAGTGGCAGGTCTACTGGCAGGTAGAAGATCTAGGGGCAGGTCTAGTGGGTCTAGTGGCAGTTCAATTGGAATGTCTAGTGGCAAGTCTAGTGGCAGGTAAAAGATCTAGTTGCAGGTATAGCGTGTCTAGTGGCAGGTAAAAGATCTAGTGGCAGGTATAGCGGGTCTGGTGGCAGTTCAAGTGGAAGGTCAAGTGGAATGTCTAGTGGAAGGTCAAGTGGAAGGTCTATTGGCTGGTAGAAGATCTAGTGGCAGGTCAAGTGGGTCTAGTGGCAGTTCAATTGGAATGTCTAGTGGCATGTATAGCAGGTCTAATGGCAGGTAAAAGATCTAGTAGCAGGTATAGCGGGTCTAGTGGCAGGTAAAAGATCTAGTGGCAGGTATAGCGGGTCTGGTGGCAGTTCAAGTGGAATGTCTAGTGGAAGGTCAAGTGGAAGGTCTAGTGGCTGGTAGAAGATCTAGTGGCAGGTCAAGTGGGTCTAGTGGCGGGTCAAGTGGCAGATCTAGTGGCAAGTTTAGTGGTAAGTAAAAGATCTAGTGGCAGGTCTAGCTGGTCTAGTGGCAGGTCAAGTGGAATGTCTAGTGACGGGTCTACTGGCAGGTAGAAGATCTAGTGGCAGGTCTAGTAGGTCTAGTGGCAGTTCAATTGGAATGTCTAGTGGCATGTATAGCAGGTCTAATGGCAGGTAAAAGATCCAGTAGCAGGTATAGCGGGTCTAGTGGCAGGTCAGGTGGCAGTTGTAGTTACAGGTCTGATGGAAAGTATAGTGGCAGGCCTAGTGGAAGGCCTATTGGCAGGTTTAGTGGCAGGTAAAATATCTAGTGGCAGGTCTAGTGGGTCTAGTGGCAGGTTAAGTGGATTGTCTAGTGACAAGTCTAGTCTAGTGGCAGGTCTAGTGGCAGATAGAAGATCTAGTGGCAGGTCTAATAGGTCAAGTGGCAGGTCAAGTGGAATGTCTAGTAGCAGGTCTAGTGGCAGGTAGAAGATCTAGTGGCAGATCTAGTGGAAGGTCAAGTGGAATGTCTAGTGGCTGGTAGAAGATCTAGTGGCAGGTCTAGTGTCTAGTGGCAGATCAATTGGTAGATGGTAGGGCAAGTGGAAGATCAAGTGGCTGGTAGAAGATCTAGTGGCTGGTCTAGTGAGTTTAGTGGCAGGTCAAGTGGCAGGTTTAGTGGCAGGTAGAAGATCTAGTGACAGGTCTAGCAGGTCTAGTGGCAGTTCAAGTGGAAGGTAAAGAGGAATGTCTAGTGGAAGGTCTAGTGGGTCTATTGGAAGGTCAAGTGGAATGTCTAGTGGCTGGAAGAAGATCTAGTGGTAGGTCTAGTGGCAGATCAATTGGTAGATGGTAGAGCAAGTGGAAGGTCTAGTGGCTGGTAGAAGATCTAGTGGCAGGTCTAGCGAGTCTAGTGGCAGGTCAAGTGGCAGGTTTAGTGGCAGGTAAAAGATCTAGTGGCAGATCTAGCTGGTCTAGTGGCAGGTCAAGTTGAATTTCTAGTTACAGGTCTAGCATGTCTAGTGGAATGTCTAGTGGCAGGTCTAGTGGTAGGTGAAGTAAAAAGTGTAGTAGCAAGTAGAAGATCTAATGGCAGGTCAGTGAGTGTTGTGGCAGGTCTAGTGGCAGATCAAGTGGAAGGTCTTGTGACAGGTCTAGTTTCAGGTCAATGACAGGTCAAGTTGTAGGTCTAGTGGCAGGTAGAAGACAAAGTGGCAGGTCTAGGGGGTTTAGGGGTAGGTGGCAGGTCAAGAGGCAGATTAAGTGGCAGGTCTAATGCTAGGTGGCAGGATGTGTGGCAGATCAAGTGACATATACTGGCAAGTCCATTAGCAGGTGCATATACCAGTAATGGGTCAAGTGACAGGTATGTATAGAGGTGTAATGCCACTAGTCTGAATATTTTATTACATTACACTAATAAAACGTTATAAAGACCAAATTTGGTATACAGAACAATATACAGTTAACAATATATTCTGCATAAAGAGAAGCAGATGAATACAGAATATAAGGACAACACTCTCAATTACAAGCTAAGTATTTTCTAAGTAGTATAAGTTAATATAACTTAATGTTACTGCCACGTCATAAATGCGATAGCCGGTTAAATAAACAAATTTTAGTAAACCATTTATAAAAAAAGTAATTCTATGTACAGGCAAGTGGATAAACCGAGAAAAAAAAAAGATCTCAAGTAGCTTTAAATGAATGAAACATAATAAGTAACAGGTACATATAAGTATATCAACCAGAACAATTGAAAGACGTTTAGGAGCAATTTGGTCTTGCCTCTAGATACTGTATATTGTTCCATGCATCATCTGGTGGAAGCACAATACATTTTTTTAAATCCAGAAAAATGTGCTACAGGATTTAGTGGCATTTCGTGAGAGAAACTGCAGACATATGTGTGAAAAAACATCTATTCTTAAAAGTCAAATTTGTATCATTGCAATTCTATTAGTCAGTGTTAGTGAAACTCAGCTTAGCCTGACAGTTCAAGAAATAATAATAATAATCATTTTCCATTGCATAATACTGCATCAAATTCCACTGTTTAAACAAATCGAAATTGAATCACACTGCATCTGTATAGGAATGAACTGTGTCATGTTGGTGGCTGCTTCATATATTTCTATAACGTATTGTTTTGTTGCCCATGCATCAAGGTGCATATCACATCGGCCTCAGTTATGAGAAGCACATCGCTAGTAGTATACAAGCTTAATCAAGAGGAGCCTAAACAATAACATATACATCCGAACAGAATACACATGCAGCTGTTGGGCCTTGTTTTGTAGTTTCATCGAGCATTAGTCAAAGCAAACATTTTTAATTTAAATGAGCCTAAATTTAACATAACAGCACACGGATCTTCAGATAATTCTGAGTAGTATAGCATGCTTCTTTACTTAAGTAACAGGATCCAATTGCACTGTAACTATGGTGCTGTGTTTTCCAGTGTAAGCTGAAAAGACACCAATAGACATTGTGCCTCAGGTAAAGTGGGTTGGAACAACTCATCACAGACTATTTTACAGCCAAATCATGCTTTGATTGGATTGGTCATTCAGATTGACAGCACTTGCAGTCACTACAGAAGCACACAACTGGAAGATCAGTGTTCACCCACCAGGATTGCTATTGCTTTGAATGTGTGTAAACACAATCGTCAAATTCAGTGAAATTTAATAACCGTAGGAACGCTGTAAATGTGAATTTGCTGAATCAGACATACCATCAGATTCTCTCTTCTGACCCAGCAGTCTGAGGGAAATTCCTCAAGCATAGGCACGAAATACTGAATACAGCCATTCCAGTGGCACAGCAGGAAAATCATCATAAACAACGACAAGATTTTCAGGAATACCCTCACCACCTCCAAGTTGGCATTTGAAACCTATAGAAAATAGATCCACATAAATGCAAAGGCATTTTGAGTGATTACTTCTTTTTTCATGTGCATTAATAACAATCTAATGTAGTTCAAATCAGTTCTATTTTGCATTCAAGCATTTACTTACTCTCTCAACCTCGTTGAAAAACCTAACCAGCCTTGACACTCGCAGCAGACGGACAAGGCTAATGATTCGCACAAACATTAGGATGCGCATCATTTTGCTGGCTTTCGATGAAGGAGAGTCACTGTGGTATTGTAGATCCTGTACTGACAAGCACACAACACACATATTTTCCATCTATGAAGATGTCATTTCATTTCAATAGCTGAAAGAATGAGGACAGTGTAGCATTACCGCAATAAGAAGTATGTAGCCAACTGGGAACGCTGCCACCAAATCAGGTATAAACCAGCTCTTTAAATACCGGTGACGGATGCTTTTCAAATCCAGTATGGCTCTCTGTGTGAACAAATGTTCATTAGAGAAGTATGAGCTAGATTTGTAAACAAAGATTAATGAGTTTGCTTAACAGTTTACTACTTTGAAATAGGATATTTCAGGGTTACGTCACCCCAAAATGAAAATTATGTAATTTACTCACCCTTATGTCATTCATTGGAATATAAATACAGATATTTTTTAATAAAAATGAAGAAATTTCTGTCCCTTGCAAATTTTCACTTAAAACGTTTGCTTCCAAACGTTCAAAAATCCATTTGCATAATTCAAGTCTTAATGGTAACTTATGAGATTCAGTCATTCCTTTTCTTTTTGTCTTATAATTTATTTAATTTTGCCCTATATTAAAATAGCAGGCAAATTTACAGCATTCAATTTTGATCAAAAAAAGCTTGTGCTTGCTTGACATCTGAGAACCAATGATTTTTTGTGTGTCACTGCAACATGTTTGAGCCTCCATAAAAACCTATTTCATTTTTTTCCAATCGTTAGAAAGAATGTTACTTTATGTTCTTTTAACATTTCAAGAGTTCACACTTAGCTGATGATTGATTAAAAAGCTTGTTTGGCATGCTGTCCTGTGAGAGAGCCCTGAGCTCATAAGGTCCTCGAGCCCGGGGCTTCCTCCTGTTTGAAAGGCGAGAGGGGAGTTTGAGCTCAGGTAGATCTCGAGAACTCCCCTGCTGTAGTAACTAACAAACAGATAGTGATTGCTCTAAAGAGATAACTACTTCCTAGGAGTATGTGTATGATTTGGATTAGTCAGTTAATTTAAGATGCATGTTATTTAGATGGTGGGAGAAAACTGAGGAACCCGGGGGAAATCCACATGAGCACGGGGAGAACGTGCAAAATTTGCACAAAAACATCAGCTGGCTTGATAAGAAGAACCAGTGAAGTTCTTGCTGTGAGGCAACAGTGCTAACCACTGGGGCACCGTGCCACTTATCTAGGAAGGGAGGAATAGGGGTGGAAGGGTGGGTTCTTCAAAATGAAGGTAACTGTTATTTGGAACTGGTATTTATAGTGGCTTAGGAATCGTCTGATTGGTGAATCGTAAATTGAATAATGCGGAACTGGCAGCAAACAATCATCAGCACGTGATCTTCTCGAAATTTGTTCATAAACTTCACTTAAAACACTAATTTTTTGATTTTCAGACATTTATATTCTTTTTTAAACAATATAATGTTATATCGATGATCATTTTAAAAGTATTTTGAAAAAGATATGAGAAAGTTAAATCTTAATCTTTTTCCAACATTTAAAAAGGAGATGTTCTGTGGTTATTTTTTTTTTGTATCTATGAACTTTATAGTAACATTTCATTGCTTCAGCCATTCTAACATGAGAATGTAACACTTGTTTTTCAACATTAAGAATGCTTTTCTTTTGTGTGTGAAGATTGGAGAAACATTCCAGTCAACCATTTTGCAAAAATGTTAAGACAATATTTCATTTGAATGTTATTACAGCATTTATATTGAAAGTCTTTTGTTGTAGCTTTTTTTAGGTGGAGCATACCATTCTATCATTTAAAAATGTCACGAGAATGATCAATTTGACTGTTTTGCCACATTTAAAGCTGACATAATTTCTAAACAGTTCAAAACCTCAAGCTTTCTAATTCTTTTAAAATGTAAAGTATTCCATTTGTTTATTCATTATGAGGACACATCAAACATTAATTGCTATAAAAACTATGTCATACCATTCTTTTATGAATGCTTTGTCCTAACATTTATTTAACAATAAACTCAAAGTTTAGAGATTGGAACATATATTAAATAACACATCAAGCATATATGGTTGTACATTTTGGGTTAAAAGAATTTTTGAGAAAATTCAGAAATTTCTCAGATTTAATTGCAATATCTTAATCTGTGTTCTGAAGATGAACAAAATAGTGTTTGAAAAGAAATAAGAGTAGCTGAAAAAACAAACAAATTGAACTTTAGTGTATTACTTGTTTCTAAGTAATTAATAAAAAAAACATACAGTTTGTCAGAAAAGCAAATATATTCCTTACCTCACAGTCTTCAGGAATGATTCCCATGCGAAAATTCACCCCTACATCAATCAAGAACAGGGTGTCTGAGAACACGTTAAAACCCTCCCAACCTACTCCACTGTTTCCATCCAGAAAGGCAATCTCCATTGGAATCCCTATTAGATTTAGAAATGTTATGGCCACCATGCACATAATATAGTAACTCCTGCAAAAAAAAAAAAAAAAAAAAAAAAAAAAGAACAAGGTTTAGGTAAATTTTTTTAAACATAGATTAAAAAACAGGTAAATTAGCCTAAATTCCATTAAAATTAGGTAAAAACAAATAATTTTAATGATAGTAGGATTTTTGAAATGTTAGTCAAATTAAGAGTAGGCTATATTAAAATAAAGAAAAAGAAAAACCTTAGGGCATGTACCTTAATCGGCTGAAGGGGTGGATGACCAACACACCTCCCTCTTTCTGTCTGATACACTCCTTCTCCACCGCCACCTCACTGCCGTAGACAAACAGTGAGCGTCTGTTGAGCTGCGGCAGCAGGAGCGTCTTCCAGCCACTCCAATTGAAGCTCCTGCGATTCTCAGGTGTGAGACGCTGCATTTCCAGGCCCTGAGTAAGCACTGAGATCACCCGAGCTCTCCTAACATCCCTCACCGCGCCTCTCTGACAACTTTATTTCTGGACTTTCTTTTATGCTGACCATTTCATCCACTTTTCTTCCTCACCTTCGCGCTCGCTCTATTTCTTTTCTCCTCTCAGGCGCGCACATGCACGGACGCAGAGTAATTTTCCATTACAGTTCTCCGTCTCGGTCCAGAATGGAGAAAGAGATAAGTTGCAGACTTTCCATCCTGTCCCCTCTGTCAAACTTAACTATTGTCTCATCAACTATTCAGTATCTCTGCCTGGCGCTCACATCAGCTCGGCTCATCTGGACTGCGGGGCGGTTCTCTGACGCGAGCTGGTTTTGAATATCACAGTTATTGTCATCTGAACTGGACAGATGGTTCGTGTAGAACTGGACTCAGGGCTGACAATGGGAGCTGATAGAATTACTTACACTGCCTTTGTGTGTAAATGACTGCTCAATATCACAACGAGGTTCCTTCTAATAAAGTGCACAGATAATTCTGCCATTGCATAAAGAGACAGAATGTAGGCCTTTTCCCCCCCCCATGCCTTTATGTTTCGAGGGAAATCAGAATTTAGCTTGAATTTAAAGGGATAGTTCATTTTAAAAAAAACAATTTATCCACTTAACCCTCAAATCAGCCTCCAAAGCATTATGAGTTATTTTTATGACGAAATAAAAAGAAGATGCTTTGAAGAATGCTGAAAATCTGTAACCACTGACTTTCATAGGAAAAATAAATTCTATGGAAGTCAATGGTTACAGGTTTCCAGCTTTCTTCAAAGCATGTTCATTTGCATTCAACAGAAGAAAGAAACTCAAATAGGTTTTAAAACAAAGTGCATGATGACAGAATTGTAATTTTTGAATGAACTATCCCTTTCACATCTATACTTCAGTGGAAACTGTCTGTGTTTTGGTTGTAATTGTGTTTGTTTACATCAGAAATAGACACCTGCAGCTTGCGACATGACAGCGACGGAGCTTGCTAGATCTTCAGTAAACTGAATACAGTATTGTATTGCACTGGCAAGCTATGGCAGGCTTATGAGGGTCAGAATACAGTGTTAAATTTCAGTGTGGTATGTAACGGGGTAACTGATCTTACATTCCCAGTTGGTAACAAACACCTAATCTACATTAATTCTGCTCTACATATCACGTTGCATTTAGTCATCAAATAGGTCACTATATACGTTCATTAAATCTCTGATTGTATTATGCATTGTTTTTACAATCTTTAATCACAACCATTTGGCTCCGCTTTGAAATGGAAGTCTTTCTCTGATGACATCACATTGACAGCTTGGATGAAATAATATTCTTAACCACGCCCCTCCAATCATTAGTTACCAGTAAGTAAACAGCAACAAAACCCCACCCCCTACGCAATATTCTTTTTCAGTTGGAAATATGTAATTATATTTTAAAAAGTGAGAAGCAACTTGCAGTTCAAGCAGACTACATATATATATATATATATATATATATATGTAGTCTGCTTGAACTGCAAGTTGCTTCTATATATATATATATATATATATATATATATATGTATATATAAATTAAATGTTTTTTAAAGGGTTCCGAATTTTGCTTTGGACATCTCCTTAAATAGGTTTACATGCATCCAAGGTAAAAATTATTATTAACTTTTATTAATTCACAATGCAGCATCAATAACCTGATCTCATGAGAAATTATGCAAGGTTTTACACATTGGTGAATTGGTTATTAATACACATTTATACTATGTCAATCATAAAAATGTCTCATTTTAAAACATAACTGTCACTGGGGTGGAAAACACACAAATGAGACCAAACAAATTCATTCAATTTAGTCACTAAATTAAAAAAAGTTAAACAAAATTGTTCTGATATCTTGTCATTAACTGTTTTCTCACAGTGTCTGAAACAGTTTGTTCAAGAATCCAGTCTCTTTAGGCCCCTCCTTTTGGAGTGTCTACTCTGCTCTGATTGGTCAGGTGACTGCAGTCTGTCTCAATCAGTGCTGTTGAATTCCCCTTTTGAATGTGAAATACAGACTATTAATTGCTGATATTATATACAGTTATACGTTCACATGGGCACCGAATGTCTGGTGCTGATTTGCAAAAACTTGCAATAAATATAAAGTGCAGCTTTTTTCTCAGCAAGTTCATCGGCATAGTTTGTGCAGAAAGCAAATTTATTTACTGGTGATTCCTTTCAGATTTCAGAATCAATTATTTCTTTTAGGAGAAATATATCCTCTTTGATCTTAAAACCTTTGGAAAAATGCATACTGGGACAATTTATATTGATGTGTGTATGCTGTTGAAAAACCTGCAATGTCACTTTTTTACTCATGAATTGGGCACAGCACGCAAACAAAACAAAAATATACTAAACTCCTAGTATAAATTCCTAAGGGCATCCATGCTGAGTTAGCGTTTTGACTTGGCCTACAAATTGACGTCATGAGTGAAAAGATCTATTTTTGTTGCACACAGAATGCTGAACTTTGCAGAAAATGCAATATAAACATTTATCAACACAATATTTTGCAATATAAGCTGTTACCAAGTGTTTGAAAAAAGTACATGTGTCAGACTTGATGGAAGTTGCACACTCAGTGACATACAAAACATTCCTGTTTTAGCTTCCCATTAGACTTCTCTCCTCTTTCTCTCCTCATACAGTAGAATTCATAACACGTCCTTTAAAGCTGCTCCTCAATTACTATTATATAGTTATAATCAAACAAATTGGTAATGTCTAAACCAGAGATGCCTAAACTAGTGCCTGAGGGAAGGAGAATGATGGAGTTGGTTTAGAGATAATTTCAAATGTTATGTAACCTTTTGTTTGTTTGTTTCATTGTTCAAACTGTGAACTGAAATTAGTACGCTTCACTTCACTTAAATAGTGCAACTTAAGCAGATATAGCTTAAATGTACATACGGTCAACCCGATGGATAGCAGACAATGTTTTTATAGCAATAAGTCATAATTTAAAAAGTTATACTGAATTACTTAATATGATTTTAAGTATTATTTTCTATTTATTTTGAAATATTATGAAAAATATGACCAAATTACAAAATATAGTCAAATTACCCAATAATATTTGGTTTTTGGCCGTATATACGAAAAGGTTTGGGCACCACAGGTCTCAGGGGCAGAATTAGCCAATAAGTGAGGTAAGCGGCTGCTTAGGGCCGCTAGGAAATCTGGAGCCTCCAATTAATAGAAGTACAAATTATAACTATAAACTATGTGTAACATCATTTTCTGTCATATTTTGTATGGTGAGAGGTAAACAAATACAATTTTAACATTATTTTATTTTATTTAATATACAATCAAATATAATTTTATAATAATGTAGGGCGATGCAGTGGCGCAGTAGGTAGTGCTGTTGCCACACAGCAAGAAGTTCGCTGGTTCGAGCCTCGGCTGGGCCAGTTGGCATTTCTGTGTGGAGTTTGTATGTTCTCCCTGCGTTCGCATGGGTTTTTTCTCCAGGTATTCCGGGTGTCCCCCACAGTCCAAAGACACGCGTTATAGGTGAATTGGGTAAGCTTAACTGTCCATAGTGAATGAGTGTCTATGGATGTTTCCCAGAGATGGGTTGCAATTGGAAGGGCATCCACTGCGTAAAAACACGTGCTGGATAAGTTGGCGGTCCATTCCACTGTGGCGACCTCGGATTAATAAAGGGAGTAAGCTGAAAATGAATGAATAATGTAATGTTATGTAATAATAATAATATCACAAAATAAAATGTCCATCATGGAGAAGTCCAGCAGTCAAATTTATAAATTTAAAAAATATATATATTTTAGCTGTAAAGTCATTTAAAAAAAAACTAATAATTTAAAATGTAAAAATTCCATTAATTTAAAATGTTGAAAAGAATATTGATTGATATAAAAAATCAAGCAATATAAATAAATATTGAATAAAATATGAAGGTGCATTTCAGGACTTGGGCCCTATGGCAGAAATTGCGTATGGCCCAAAATCACTAAAACCACCCCTGCCTGTCTAAACCCCGAAATCATGAAATCACCTAGGTTTCTGTAGATTTAACTCTAATGCAAGGTTATATATATATCACATATCATATACATAAACCATCCTTACACAATAACTTGCCTAATTACCCTAACCTGCCTAGTTAACTTAATTAACCTAGTTAAGCCTTTAAATGTCACTTTAAGCTGTATAGAAGCGTCTTGAATAATATCTAGTCAAATATTATTTACTGTCATCATGGCAAAGATAAAATAAATAATTTATTAGAAATGAGTTATTAAAACTATTATGTTTAAAAATGTGTTAAAAAAAAATCTGCTCTCCGTTAAACAGAAATTCGAGAAAAAATAAACAGGGGGCTAATAATTCTGACTTCAACTGTATATTTATTTGGCCTGCACAATATTGATATCACAATGTATGAAACCGCAATAGTCAGCAAATATGCAATGTTGAGCATTCAGGCACACGAAATCGTAATGTTTGTAACTTTAAGAATACTGTAATTGTATTTATCTATAAATACAATGAAGACTGTAATAGGTCATTTTACATTTGATTATACAATTTGCACCTGAATACTGCTAGACCTCCAGAAATCTGTAAAATACTGTTTATTTAGTTTATATATTTGCTGTACTGTATTTATCAACGCTTGTGATTGGTATATTATATTTTATGCAGATGCACTCACAAAAGCATCCCAGTCAATCTAAAATGATGAATTCTTACCATATTGAGCCATTTATTTCATCTGGTAAAATTATACTTCATATTGCAACAGAAAAATAAAACATTGCAATGTATTTTTTTTTTCAATATATGTGCATGTATGGCGACACAGTGGCGCAGTAGGTAGTGCTGTTGCATCACAGCAAGAAGGTCGCTGGTTCGAGCCTCGGCTGGGTCAGTTGGTGTTACTATGTGGAGTTTACATGTTCTCCCTGCGTTCGCGTGGGTTTTCTCCGGGTGCTTCGGTTTCCCCCACAAGTCCAAAGATGCGGTACAGGTGAATTGGGTAGGCTAAATTGTCTGTAGTGTATGAGTGTGATTGAGTGTGTATGGATGTTTCCCAGAGATGGGTTGCAGCTGGAAGGGCATCTTTTGCGTAAAACATGTGCTGGATAAGTTGGCGATTCTTTCCACTTTGGCAACTCCAGATTATTAAAGGGACTAAGCCTAAAAAAAGAATGAATGTGCATGTATATACATACACACAAACAACGTATTTTTAGTCAGTTTAACTTGAACAATTGCTCACTTAAAGAGCAAAACTATTTTGCAAATAGTAAATAAAGTAAAGATGTCATTCGAATTGATCTGTAAATACTTACATTTGAAATGCCGTATATACAATCTAACTTCAAAAATAAATAAACACCTAAATTGTGATAATATACATCAATTAACTAAAACTTTCTCAAGGCTTTTATCACGTACATGACTTTTATTATGATATTGTCGTTCGGGTAATGTTATACTTTGTTTTCAGCTCGAATCGCGTTTTATATTTACCTCTAACTTGCATTAAAATCACAAATATGTAAAAAACGGCTTGGACTAACTTTGAATGTTATTTAGCTTTCGAATGACCTTAAACTTTACCCGGAAGCCGCGTGACACTTCCGGGTTAACAGCTTTTTGACAGCAGCAGCAGCAGGTTGTGTAAGGAAGGACGCACGTGAGCACATCAGTCTCTATCCATCATACAACGTAAGTGAACGTTTGACTGGTAAATGTTTTATAATAAATCTCACCTGATAGCAGGCGTGATTATCTGTGTTACCTGCGCCTAAATATATAATGTGTTGAACGCGAGTGTTGAAGCTGTAAATATAATATTATCAATATAAGGAACTGTTGAAGATGATGTAACTATCAATATGGTGGTCAGCTGCAGGTTGTTCGCAGTAGTTTAGAGCTGATTAATCGGCTGTCTTGTGATTCTCCTACAGTTTTATCGAGTGGAAATGTCGAGTCTGTCAGCAGCGAGTGTGGAGGCTTCACCTGCAGCGATAGAGGGAGCAGAGCAGAAAAAGCCACTCAAACCCTGCTGTGCCTGTCCCGAGACCAAGAAAGAAAGAGATGCCTGGTGAGCACTTTAACTGTTTTTATTTTCGTATTTAACTTATCCTTTAAAATGAATTATCACACAGATTTTTAGATAATTGTGGTTAAGTTGGTTTTATATTCGAACATTCGTTTTGTGACTTGCTCCCTATATTGTTTACCATGTTACTTTAAACATTTGGTCTGAAATCACATGTAAGTATGACTTCAGAACAACATTAGCACTATATATTTGACTGTAAACCAGGGGTGTTCAAACTCGGTCCTGAAGAGTTTAGCTCCAACTTTAATCAAACACACCTGAACCAGCTAATCAAGCTCTACATATACCAGAAGCTTCCTGGCAGGTGTGTTGGAGCAAGTTGGAGCTGAACTCAGCAGGACACTGGCCCTCCAGAACCGAGTTTGGATGCCCTTGCTGTAAACATTGTCCACTATTTGGAAATGGCATAAAATACTTTTCTGAACTTATATTATTAAGGAGAAAGTCTGAATGTGTGAATATAAAACTTTCCCTCAATCTTTTAATACCGGTGACCATTTTTTTAAGCACAAAAATGGGAATTCCCATTCCCAATCTCTGATCAGTTTTTATTTATTAATTCATTTATTTTTACATAATTTGCAATTAACAATAACTGAATAAGGCAGGGTTATTGCCTAATTTAAAACTTTAATCACATTGTTACTTGAAATAAATTATGAAATAGTAAAAAAAAAGTATATAAATGAATAAAAACTGTTGATACATAAAGAAATTAACTAAACTTTAATTTTATTTTGGGAAAACTCATCCTATATTTAAGACCATAAATTGTTATGAGAAATTATTTTCTTGTTGTTCACAAGGAAATAGATTTTAATGTGCAGTCTAAAATTGAATAAAGTCAGACAGAGTTTGTCTTTTAATTGCTTTAATTCTCCGGAGATGATCAGTTTACAAAGAGACAGCCTCTGTAAGCAAAAGTAACCCAAGCATGGTCTCAGGCGTTTTTAAAGACAATGTTACTGTGTTTCAGATAAGAATTTTCCAGCAGCTTAACTCTTAAATAACCAGTAGATTACACATGGCTGTAATAGTCCAATGATTATAATGCAGATGATCTCTACTAGCAAAACCTTAATCAATTTATAATATTAATATATACTTATCAATCATCACTATATGATCATCAATATTAAAATCTCTCTCACTCTATCTATATATAGATCAAAAGATCACATCAATAGATTAAATAACTGCAGTGCATTCTGCATGATTTGATAATTATGCAAATCATATCATGTTCTCAGGCATTGTTAGAATGAATAACAAAATACTGCCAGTCAGCTGGATAGAAATATATATATACACACACACACACACACATATACACAAACACACACCAATTTATACACTAATTTGATGCTTGGCAAGTGTTTTAGCCACAGTGTGCAACTAAACAATACTGTCTTTATTCCAGCATCATTGAAAAGGGGGAGGAAAGCTGCACACACCTCATCGAGGCACACAAGGAATGCATGAGAGCGCTTGGTTTTAACATATAACACCACTATCATCATCATCATGAGTGAATGGTGAGTTTTTTTTTCTTTTGAAAGTTTTTTCTTGAACTGCAAATTAGTGACATTTTGTGCTCTCTCATGCAAGTTATTTTAACACTGTCCAAGCTGCTCTCTTTCATATTATAAAAGTGAAAAGTGAAGGCTGATCCTTACAAAGTGTGTATGGATTCACAAATTTTTTTTACTATAGTGCACAATTCAAAGCAGCTACTTTTCTATAAAACAGAGCAGCTTGGGTATTTTTCCTAAATTGCTTCTTGCTCAAGGGACTAAATTATAATAGAGTTTAAATGAAATAAGAGAAGAAATAATAAAGATGTTTCTGTCAGTTTAATGAATCGCTTACAGTATATGTAATGTTTCCTTAATTGCTTTTCTTTTGTAGTGTGTGACTGCTTGCGTGGAACGGGACCCGGTGTGCTCTATTTATACTTTTTACACTTCAGGGAAGATTATATGAAGCTGAATTTTTTCTTCTGAGGGATATGTGTGTGTTTTCTTTTTCTTGCTTTCACGTGTGATTTATGTATGTTTATGGTCAATAAAGATCCTATGCAAGATGTCAAGTCGTTCTCTGTTGCCTCTTTACCTCATGTTTGCATGTAATCCTGTTTTTAATTGTTCAGTCTAAATCAATATCTTGCACATGCTTAATTTCAGTGCCTAAAATTAATATTTTGACAAAAAAAACCTGAGAACTTAGCAACTATATGCATTTTTTTTCTACCACCCATGAAACTAGGCCAATAAAAACTCTAATTATGATTACTATTTCTTTTTCATTTTAATAATTGAGAAATATTTTCAAACATTTAACAATAATAATACAAAAAAAGTCTCTACTGATCTGAAGTATTTTAAGAAATGTTAATTCATGTAATATTTATATTAAAAAATAACTGTTTTATATATTTTGACTACAGATTCATAAAACTAAGATGTTTGGATCGTTTTGCACGAGTAAGTTTGTAATGGATTTGGATTAGTAAAATAATTACAGATCAAAGCATTAATCAATGACTGCTAACATGAAGAGATAACTACATGTCAGATTACATATTTATATCCCAACAAAATCTTTGCAATATTATAATCAGGCTAAACCATGCAGTGTTCCTAGGGAATGTAAGAAAAATAGTCAGCCAACCCACTGGTGCGTCACACTGTTTTATATACTTCCTAACTCCTTCTTTACTCACATTTGCTGTTTGGTTGTTATTTTTAGTCCCTCCTTGATTTGCTTATTTAATCACGTATTATATTATTAATGATGAAGCAGTGTTGTCTGTAGGACACAATGCAGGCCAAGCAGTTTTACACGAACAGATTATTTCTTCAAGCTTCCTACTGGGTCGGTTTCTGAATTCCCTGTACCAGCGTTTGGCTGGTGACAGCTGCACTTAACTATGCACGCAGGCCTAAAATAGAGCTGCTGCTCCCAGCACACTCTAATCTGAGGTCTACCCACAGAACTGCCTTTATTCTGCCTGTACACCTGGTCTGAACCCAGCAAATGCTCTTCATAATTAGCATTTTCTCCTGAAGATTTCACAAAGTATGGTCACTGAAATGCCTAACAATAACATGCAGATTTAGCTTTTTCACTATTATGCTTAGCATACTAATATGGGTAAATTTGATGTTCAGTTCTTCGAATCACACAACTGACAGCATAGTTTTAGATTTTTCAGATATTAAATGTGTAGCATGGCTTGTTCTGGTATATTCGAATTGCTGTCATGATGCTTGACTACAAAGAGAACATGCAGACAGTATGTGAGTGAGAACATTTCTATCGGCAGGTTTCTTTTGGAGAGTAAATGTCAAACTCTGACTAGTAACTTTGACACTCTCTTATCAGTTACATATGCTAATAAGGCTGCATAAGACCTGCAGTGTGTACTGATATTCATTGCATTTTGGTAATGATTTCATTTTCTGTATTTCCAAATACAAATATCTGTTTGAATCAAGCCAGAAACACATCACACTAGAGACATTCACATGGCCAGATTTACTAGGATAAGATACTAATTCAGAAGGTGACTGCCACATACGTAACATTTCCATAATGACCCAAACAATACTACGAGTGTAAGGTTGGTTGGGCAATCTACTTTTTGTGTTTGTTACTTTTTCTTTTTTAAATAAATGTAAGTTTTAAAATATAATCACAACACTAAACCCTATTGCAAACTTTAGTAAATCACCTTGAAAGATTTAAATAAAAATCTCTACCATATATGTATATGTGTAATTTGTTTATTTATTTATTTTTATTATTATTATTTTATTTATTTATTTATTTATTTAAATTTTTTCCCCAAGCCTGTCTAGGGTAAGTTTTGGGTATTGGGGTTTGAATTATTGTAAAATCTTGAAAAAACTCAATACAGACATGTAAAAATCTCTACCATAAATTTAGCATGTGAAAGGAACATAAACATGCACATGACAACCGATCAGCTGCAAAAAAAACCTCATGCCTTTCAAGGCTAATGTTTTACTGCATGTTTTTAAATCATGACATTATAGTGTTTAAAGCCAAATGTTTGATTTTAAGGGAAAGAACTGATAAGGCGACTTAAAAGTAAAGATAAAAGAAGCACCCTAAATCATCAGAGTGGGAGCATCTAGATAAAAGTATAAATTACCAAATATAAAAGTCTAATTTGTTTTATTCTCTCTGGGCATATAGAGAGGAGACCTTGTCCTACAGGTGGTTTGTCAAGCCCACTAACCTGCAGAGCATACCAATATGTAAACATATGGCATGGTAAATATAGTAAACTTGCATAACTAATGATTGCATTGCGTATAATGAGCTTATTCCTATACAGTTATCTTTACAAAGGATTTACACTTCATAGTAAGAACTTTTAAGGGATGAAGGGTGTAGGGAAGCAAAAGAAAGACAAAAGAAAAAAAAAAAAGTGTTCCCTGTAATGCATTTTTTGGTCATATTGCATTGTGTCACATTCAACATGTGCAAAGAATTGCTGTAATGAAGAATATACATTGCCATTTAACCCTTTCAAATGTTTGATATACAGTAAAAGGGCCTTTCGAGGTGGCCAGATTTGTGCACCAGATTTGTAACAACATTACAATACGATGACCATGATTGTTTTCATTCTTAAACATCATTCAGAGACAGCATTATCATGCTTGAATAAGTGAAATCTGCTTCTAATTGGTCAATCCAGGCAGGGTTCCATTTAGATTTGATCCTGTTCAATTCTTGATTCCATATGAGGAGTATAAATTTAACACTATACTACTACTAATACTCACATGCTATTTCTAAAAATAGATCATGAACACCAGTTTATAAACGTCAATTAACAAAAAGACACTGGTATGAAACAAAAATAACGTTATATGATGCGTAACAGTCCTCAGCATATGAGTACACCCCTCACAATCTCCCTTTTAAACTAATATTTTCTATAAGATGCTTTACAGTATTATATTTGTGCATTAGATTAGTTAGCACTGAAGCCAAATCTGAAGATAATCTAACAAAATAACTTGCAACACAGCAAAATCCTCTGTGTAAAATTTACTCAGTTCAAAAAGTATTTGGTCCGTCTTAAAATAAGGGCAACAGGTTGGTAAGAAGTAAAGCTGCTGTTTGTGGAGTTGCTTGATGATCCTCTGCTGAGATTTTGAGAGATTCAATGTATCATATTTCAGCTGATTTCATCTAAGGCTGTGACTGAAGTCAGTGGTAGTTTTGTGCTTCTCTTCTGTTTTTCTGCCTAATAACAGCAGGTGTTCATCATCAGTGCTCAATCATCACTTAATTCTTTCATTGTCTTATTAACTTGAGTAACTTTAACTGAATTTAGAGAGGGACCAAATACTATCTAAACTGAGTTCATTTTACTTAGCGGATTTTGCTGTGAATAATGGTTCAAAAATAAGTAGGCAAAATTTTTATGTTAGAGAAAAATATAAAATTAAAAAAAAAAACAATTTCAGAGAAAAAAAAATATATATACAGACGATTTAGTTCAAATGTTGTAGTTTGTCTTTATTTCAATATTTAGCATGAATATGAATGTGTTTATGTCTAAAGATGTTCTGTGACTAAAATATTATTTTAATAAATATATGTTTAATAAATATGTTCAAATGCACCAATATATTCACTGAGAAATGGATAAAAATATTTATTTACAAAGTGGGGTGTACTGATTAATGCTGCACTGTATATTAAATATATTAAAACAGAATCTACCTCTGTTTTAAAACCAACCAGAATATAGAACATTTCAAAAAACTCAGAATATGGAATACAGGATATAGGGGAAAAATACATTGATATAAAGGATTTTGAGAATCTTCCATTTACCCTGGTTATTAAAAACACGACGCTAGATCTTTTCCTTTCGAACAGAAAAACAGCACTTGTGAATTACAACGTTAAATGACAAATTGCATTCTTACAACTCTTTGTACATTTCTGCCACAACTGTTATATAAAAACCATATACCTTCAACTTCATTAAAATAATACTTCATAAAACTGACATTATAGCACAGATTCTAAGACCCTAATAATAAATAATTAAATACATAGACCGTTAAAAGCGATTCGTTACTTTACTTATAAAAGTGAGTAAACCCTATGTAACTTGGAACTGTTAGGTTGATATCATTTTTATATTAATGCACATAGTTCATCTACCTAATCACTTTAGGGCTCACTTGAAGTCAACTAATTGCTTTTAGTGTGCAAATAAATAATAATATTGATAAAGAAATCCACTCAGTCCTGCACTCACTTGCTAAGCAGAGTAGAGTACTATCATAACAACTGCGCCAAGTTATCTGAAACTACAAACAGGAATGGTCAGGGAGGGGGAGGTAAACACGGTTACATGACCCTCCCCTGTTATTTTATCTGTCTCAGATTCTCAAAATATTCCCCCCCTCATAACCCTCCTCCTACTCTCAAACACCCAGCGCTGGACTACAGGTTCACTGTTTGATTGTGAGAAAATGAGTGTTGGTGACATCTGGCAGAGCTTTCAAAGATCTTCGCAAACGTCTCTCCGTGTCACTTGTTATCGTAATCGCTCCGCCCGACCATCATTGTGTTATGTTAAGTAGCGAGTCTGCTTTCTGTCTGTGGCTCTTTCCTCCTTAGGTTTCAATTCCAAACATGGTTATCCTTCTCAGGGTCTCTACCCCCACCTCTCCCGCTCCATGTTTCCAAAGGTCTTCAGTCCAGTGTGGGACGGGGAACAGAAGCACAGACACTGGAGGGCTGATATTGTCAAATTTAAAAGGAAGAGTGGGTGTCGAAGGAAACTAAATTATGAAGCTTCTTTTATTCCAGCTGATTTTGGCCGTAGGAGCGACATTGACTTTAAGCAGCTGAAGGGAACAAGCTTTTTATATTCGACATTAGTTTGGCATTTTGTTTACAATCTTTTAAAAACTTGAATTATTTTTCCAGAATTTAATGACAGGCTTCTTATAATTCAGCGTTCCATTGAATTGGAGACAGCAGAGGCTCAAACATGAATAGCGGCGACTCTTCATTGATTGACGCTGT